ATAGTTGGGTCCAGCTGTTTTTGAAATTCATACTCCAAAACAAGCTTGCTTTTATGGTTATAACTAGTCTTTCATTTTGACTAAGCTAAAATAGAGAACTTGGCATCGCAGTCCAGTTTTACACAGGATACTCGTATGTTGTAGGTAAAACCTTTTGAGGAACACGGGTAGAATAAGATCAATTTCGTTCACTTAGGACACTGGTAACTAAGTTGATTAAAAAAAAAAAAAATCCACTGTTCCATTTTAGCTGATTATGTGTAAATGGCACTTGAGTATTGTATTTGGATGTAGCTTCTACTGTGTAGTACTTCTCAAGCCTAATGCAGTTATAAATTGGCAACACGGAAATGCCCATATTGTAGAATTTAGTTGACCGATCTCTTTAATTATAGATTTTTATGGGTCTTGTAATGTTAAAGGTTATTTGTGCGTGCACGTTTTATTTAATGCCAAGCTTTTGATCAAGAGAAGTGACACGTATTATTATTCCAGACCTTTTCCCCAAATTTTTCTCATTTCTCATAGCTTAAAAATGTGCACAGAATTGGCCAGAGGAATATCTATAAATATTTTGTCAAAGAAAAAAAAGTTAATTAGTGTGCCCAGTGCACTCAAGTTGGGGCTCAGAATTGAAAAATGAGAGAAGTCCTTGTTTGTTTGAAGATGGAATGGGGTTTTCTATGCTGGCTTTTGTTGACCAAGTTTCTTAGAGAATCAGTACTTCATGTTGTCTTCAAGACAGGGATTATTCATCTCAAGGATTGGAGTGGCTTTTTTGCCCTGAATAATTTCAAAGCAGACCTTCATGCTAGTCTTTCAACACCGTAAAATATGCTACAAGTTTTCAGTGGTGTCAGAGGTTTATCTGTGTACTTAATAATGAAAGAAACAAGACCACGGACTATTTAAGAACCTTTTTACATCATTGAATGTTTAAAGTAGTTAAAATACGTAATCAAGTTTTCCACACAAACCCAATTGTTTGTAAGTGCAAGTGTCCATGGAAAAATGAGAAACCTTTCACAGACTTGTGTAATTATTTTAAATTATTATCATTATTTCTTCAAAATCATATAATCATAGCATTAGTTGTAGCTTTATTTATCTTTTTTTTTTGGTAAAAAATTGAAAATAAATAAAAAGGGAAGTCGTTTTTATGATACAAATAAACCTGCATTCAATATGCAGAAGTCCAGTGCATACTACTAACCTAATATATATTTAGTCATTTACTGTACATATTACATTTTCAATAAGATGGTAAAAATAAATAGTATACACTTGAACCACACGTGATCTTTTTTTGTCATTTAATTTTACATTTCTGGTCACGGTAACAGCAGTGAGCACGGCTGGGGTTATTAGCTGGATACCATTTAGTTGATCTATATTTGATACATGGCGGTTCCAGTCTTGGAGATAAAAGGTTTTCTTTTTGTGTACGACTGCATGGAACTTGGCAATACAAAAAAATAAATGCTGAAAATTGTAGCATTAAATTCTTTCAGAAAATAGCCACTTTCAGCATTTAGTGGAAGACAATGAAAAGAGAAAAAGTAGATTTCTTGTATATAACACAGAGCAAGTAAGTTTATTGAGCATTTTGTGAAGACGAGAAGCCTGTTAATCTAAAAAAAGGTCTTGGATAATCGATACACAGAGCACATGCAAATGATCTCTGAAGATATAAGATGTCAGCAAATGACCTATTCACCTACAATTAACATGTTATTGATGTAACTGACCCCAGCTGACTGATAACAGGCCTGACCATTGCACTGGACATTTTGGTGTAACTTTAGTCAATATTTAACCAGTTTCACTGACTGATAAAGGAAATAGATCAGGTCTTAGGCAACTAATGATGGTAAGGACAGTTTTCACATATTTGGTACGTGTGAGAGCCAAAAAAAGGTCTCAACTGATTGATAGTGGAGCCAAAGCATTAGCTAAGGTATCCTTGCATTTCCACTGTAAGGTCATGTCCTCAAATATGTTTACTGGTATTGAGACCTGGAAAAAAGAAAAACAAATGTTTTGTTCATCTTAAGTTTCTATAAATGGGGACACAGTTATGAATACAATTATATGATAAGCGTTTTTCTATTATTTTATTCCCAGTATTTAAAACATGGTCATTGTTTGTTACAATAACCATGAATAAGAAAAATAATATTATTTCAAGTATGAGTATAAACAAACACAGTTCAATGTTTAATATTACTGAAGTAAAATACCCTCAAAAAATGACAAAAACTACCAAGCATCAAACTTGTTATCTTGCATCAGTGGTTACCTGAAAGTGTCTCTTCCATGCATCAGATAGGGCTTCTGTGAACTTTCGTTGTTCTTTTGTCGATGCAAAATATAGGATCCACTGTTCACTGCTGACTTTCCTGTCCTGTGACTCAAACTCCTGAAAACATAAAAATAAAACTTTTAAAATGTTCCAGTTAAATACATGTATATCCCTTGATGTTGTATTTAAATTGTGACGGTGATGCATGCCACAATAGCAAATATCATTTCACACACACAAACACTCGTAACCGTCTCTCTTGTATAAATGCACAAACTCTGTCCTCTCTCCCCCTTTTCTCTTTTCATCTCCTTCCCCCTCTCTCTCTCCCTCTCTCTCTCTCTCTCTATCTATTTTTCTAACGTTTTTACCAACACCTCTCCCATGCATACTCACCACAATACAATATCTCTCGTCTGTGGGGTCAATTGTGATGCCTGTCACATCTAACACATTTGCAGAGCCTATGGTTCTAAAGAAGTATGTCTGCAGGTCCTCATGGCACATGAATAACTTGTTAGGAGTCAGTACAGCACAGCAGGGTAGAACACCCACGCCACCAGGAGCCTAGGAGGTAAATGGAATTTTAAAGATGATTGGTTATAAATACACCAATCAGGTAATTAGAAAATTAATCCAATTAGGAATAAACTACAAAAGGATGAAATGATAACTGCAGTTTTATTACTATTTGCTTCAGACTAATTTTAAGTTGTTGTCCATAATGTGTATATGATCACCATGGGAGTAAGGGGGTCATTTACTAGAGGGATATCAAAATAAAGCTAAAGGCTACATTGAAATCGGGGTATTCTCAGAAATTGTTCAAAATGAAGATTTATAATAATCATTGGGAAGGACTTGGCAGTTGTTTCAATCTATTATATTTCAGCAAAATATAGCTCTTCAGCATTTGAAACTGTGAAGGATGAAGGAAGGCCATGGTTATTTTATAATTTACCTATCATGAATGCTGAAGAATTTCTCTTAAATCTTGGCAGGATAGGAACATAAAATGCTATACCTTCATAAGTGCTAACAAATGGTAGGATGTTATTGTAATAACAATATATCTTTCGGAATTGGAACACATACTGAGGAAAGGAAGGACTACTCAATTTTATTGACCTACCCCTTCTAGCAACATCGTCTTCTGAAGATAAAATTCATGATGTAAAATAAATATTCCTTACAAAAATGTGACAATAAAATAGTTTGACTATATATGCCAATAAAAAATAAGCATTAATTTAATTTTTTGTCCATTCTATAAATTTTAAGTAACTAAATAAATGAAAGTAACAACATAAGCATTTAAGAAAACCTACCCCCATTCCTTCTGAAACAGCCTTACACAGAGTCTGAAGCCAATCAAACGTCTCTGATTCATTTGATGCGGACATCTGAATTGTGCTGTTGTCTGAGAGGATAATCTCAAAGCAGTTCTCCCTGTCCGAGACGTGAGCTCGTCTGCAGCCACAGCAATCTTCACCACTATGAAACGATCAAAAAGATCCAGTCACAAATACTGCTTATTATCTTTCATACTTATAAACACAAACTGGGTGAAAATTATACTTTACAATGAACGTATTTTAATTATGTGTATACTTTTATTATATATGATTTATTTAACTGATTATGGTATCTCTTACAGTATTCAATTATATCTACACTATAAATGTAAAACTTCAACCTGTGATGTTAAACAAATTACGGTTGTAAGATATCATCATAATTTAATAATAATAAAATGTACTTCAGGGAAACATTTAGTGTGCATGATGTGCTTAAACTTTGCCAAAAAGGAAATTTATGATGTTACAGTTTATCTTCATTTTAAAAAAGAGCATGCATGGTTGTGTCAGTGTACAAACATGTTTATCTTTTAACATACCCCAATTGGATTGTTCTTTCTGGCTCTTTTGTGTTATTTTTATTTGGAAACTGGAGCAATATACCATCTCTAGGAAAAATAAACAAGAGAAACGTTTAATATCTTTTTATTAAAATTCTGCTGACTTCACTTTTAAACCTTTTGGCTTAATTTGGCAAGTACTTTTTCATCTAAATAACATTGAAAATTCTATCAGGGTCCACTCCTTATATATCAAGCCTTATTATTTTTCAACACTTTGTTCTGGTATCGTCCACCTTTGTTTACTCTCCAAAGTTTATTAATTACAATTATAACAATAATGGCAAAAAAATAAAAAAATAAAAAAAACCTTCCAAAATTACTTAAAGAATGACAAATGCTTAAATGAGAAAAGCCCATACCTAAGTACAAAAAAGGCAGCCTTCCACGTGTGACCGTACAGATTGTTGGGAGTCTTGACCAGTAGCGTCCCCTCTTTGGCTAGTCCACTCCGAGATTTGGACTGTGTGTCCTCCCAACTGACTAGACTGTAACACAGGAGTTCCACCTCACTGGACTGAGAATAGAGAAGTTCAAGTAAAACATTGGCTAGTAATAGTTTGAATTTTAAAGGGAGATTTCTGCAATGGCAAAATACCACCTCTTGAAAAATTAAATAAAAAGTTACCAATCTCATACCAATAAATAAGTAACAATCTTGTTATTCTTACTACATAGCTTTTCAATATTTGTCTATTTTCAATCAGTTCTACTTAGACATTTATTTCATACGGAATACTAGATGTTAAAATACAGACAACAAAGCAAAACTCACAGCTACTCCGCATTCCTGTGCCAGCCATTTCTTCATTGCTATCTTCTGTGTGGTGGCATCAGTGAGAACGCTGAGTCGCAGGAGATCCACTTCACAGTTACGCACTGCCTCTTCCAGTGATTTCACCATAGCCCTGGTGGTAAATATCAATATCAATGAGTCACATTTAATGGAAACTTGGACGTTACACTTTGAAAAGATGACTTACAAAAATGGTATCCATAAAGGACAACACATCAAAATATAATCAGTTATGAAATACATTCATCACATTACTTTAAAAAATAAATCGACAGTTGATATGTAAAGTGCTTTTACAGGAGAAGAAAGAGTCACATTTTAGAGTTAAATGAATGGACAATCCAAAAGCTTGCCAGAAAGAAAGCTCAGCTTTAATGGATTGATACTTTAAAATCTGACACAAAATGCTACAAATGTTCTGACTATAAAATAGTGTGGAAAGGGACAATTACTTGGTCAGTTCCTCATCTCCAGTTGTGATCCAGTGCTGTTTTCTTCTGTTTGTGCAAACTATGTGAACTGTTTGGAAGTTTACTGACAACTGGAAGAGAAAAAACAAACATAAGAATGCAAATATGTGTGCTAACATAGTCAAACAACACAGCATCTGACATAAGCTGATAAATGTTGCACAGAATAGCTATGATCTATGCTTTTAGTAGATTAATGGGGTCCCTCCTTCCATGTTTACATGCATCCATTCCAACAAATAATAATTATTACTGACAAGGTTCCATTAAGCTGGATGCATGCACCATGAAAAAATGTTAAGGTTCTTCAAGAACAATTTGCCCTCTTTAAAACTAAATATAAATTCACAACTAAGTTTAAAAATTGCAGGTAAAAATAGTCAGTGAGGCATAAAAACTTCTAAGTAAAAGAATCCCAGCAGTCTTGAGATCTAGATGGGACTGTAGTGTGACAACCCTTTTTTAACTGGCAACAAATATTCAAACTTCCACCAAAAGAGGTCACTTACATCAACATAGTCGATCTCCTGGTATCGTACCACCGTCTCCTTGTTGTATTTGCCTCGGCCAGGCCCTGGTGTTAGAATATAGAGGGCGTTGGATGTCAACATCACAAATACCTTCTGCGTATTCCCTTCTGTATGGCCAACAGTGGTGGGATACATCTAAAATAAAGACAGGAATACAAAGTTTTTGATCAAAATCTCCTGCCATAACAAAAACCTCTATTTGTTTTACAAAGTAATTCATCTGTAAATCAGGAGAACTTGAGCTGTTTTAAATCTGTCAGTGCGCATAAAAAAGTTTTTAAAAATCATATCCCTTTGTGAAAAAAAATGTGTAAACGTGGTTTTGTAAAGTAATTCATCTGCTATAAAATATCACACAGCAATTAAGTATGACTCTACAAGCCAGGGTCAACTGCTTTCTTATAAGGGAAATCTCATCTAAGTCTTTTTTATTGTCAAAAACAAACTGAACTATGACCCTGACAAGGAAGACTGTAGATGACGACAAGGCATTTTGTTTTATACTAACCGCTAAAAATTGTTCATCCTCTGTCTGGAAAACTTCCAACATCAGAAACAGTTTGCTGTTGTTGTCCAGTCTAAAACAAAGTATCATAAATACAGTTAATCAGAAGAACAAGGCATCTACACTTACCACTTTTAAAACATAGCACTTCTATCACATAGCATATAGAAATTTCAGTTTCCATACCTAGTTCACAATCAATATGCTGATCTCAAAGCATGCAGGAATAATAAAGCTCAAGGGTTGTACTCTCAAAAGGATGAAAAACTTACCTAATATCCAACTGCCTTGATTTCCCTTCTGAATTTCTCATAATAACCCTTTCCTCTTCTTCATCAATATATTCTTCTGCTGATTCTGTGTCTTCAGTCTCCTGCTGGTGCTGATCTTCTGTCCTTGAAAGGTCAAGGCCAAGGTCAAGGTCACCATCAGAATGACCAATCATGCTTTCCGTTTTGTCCTCACTATCAGACAGTTTGTCCTTGTCACTGTATATGCTTTCACTAGTTCTGCGCTCCTTGACAAGCTGTGAACTTGGAATTTTGGAATTTTCAGAATCTTTACCCACTAATTGCACATTTTGCCCGACTGTGTTTGTAAGAGATATAGTTACATCAGCACCTTTCTCGTTGACTTTAAAATTAAAATTTTCATTTTCATTAAAAGCACCACTTCTTGCCCTCTGCGTTTTTGCCCTTCCCCAGTTTTCCCTTCGAGTCTTTGCTTTCTCTCCTGTCTGTAAAGCACCATCTAAAATGTCTGTGGGTGACAACAGATTGGAATCATCAGCCTTTTCTAAATCACTTGCTTCATGTTTTTTCCCACTTTTGGGCTCATCCTCTGTATGTTTCTCCGATGGTGGGTCCACCGCAGCCCCGGCAGCAGCTCCTGGGTCTTGTTCTTCTGTGATGACTTCAAAGTCTGACTTATTATAATCTGATGGTCTCCGTGGAAACAAAGCGTGCTCATCTTTTCCGCCTACCAACAACCCAGACACAGAGGCACTGCTGCCTCCGCTACTACCCTGACTGGATATGCTTGTACGATTTTTGAAATCATAAATATTAAAGCTTGTTGACGATGTAGATTGCTGAAGATTGTCAGAGACATGTAAGCTCGTGTCTGAGGGCTGTGTGCGAATAGCAGGCCCGTTTAAAATGGCTCTCTCAATGAGGTCTAAATCAGGAGGTTCGTCACTGTTGATAAAAGAATCTCTGACTATAGAAGTGGTTTCAGTGTGGGATTTCTGTGGCACAGAATTGTCCCCTTTGGTATCATCATCTGGTGAAGTGACAGCTGTTAATTGTGTTAGAGGAGACCCCTGTTTAGGGCCCAATTGTGTTGGGTGGGATGGAGAGTCCTCCTGGAGAGAGGGCTTGGGAATCTTGTCATTGGAATGTGATATGGGACAAAACACAGGTGCATCAGCAGGTGTGACAGGTGTGACAGGTGTGGTAGGTGTACTTGAACTACTGCCATGACTGCTGCCTTTTTTCTTCTTTTTCTTCTTCTTGCTCTTCACATGGATGACCTCTATATTGCCCTCCTCTTCCTCTGCTCCGAAATCCTCATCCTCGATGTAAGATCCTCGAGAGAAGTCCCCCGTTGAGGACTGAAGAGTGGACATTTGTGAGGACAGGGAGCTGATGGACCGTGGTCGGACTGGCAAGAGGTCATCATGACCAGGCGACCGTGGAAAAGGGAGCATGGATTCTGTTCTGGCACGTCCTGCCATGTCGTTGTTGTGGTCAAACATCTAAACAAATGAGGACAAATAAAATTTGAAAAAAATTTGAAAACATTTTCATTTTCATCGAAAACACCACTTCTCACCCTCTGCATTTCTGCCCCAGTTTTCTAAAACGTTTTAAAATAATAAACATTCTAAAAATTTTGAAAATTTTATTTAAAAAAAAAACCTAACTTTTTATTTGTTCTTTACCCACGACACGTGTATCAAAGAGTGCAAAAATGTGCATACTTATCAAAATATTATTTATTTTATAAATAAGCATTATATGTGGGTGAAATTCTCATGGTTTTCACCCAGTATAATTCTTATTAATTCTATTCTTATTAATTCTAAGTACCTGTGACACACTACTCTCCATACTGCAGATGGAAATTCTGTCTTCTTTGTCCTCGTCTGGACTGTCCACCCCAGGGCAGTGACAGCTGAAGTCCAGATACGTCACATCCTGCAGTCAAGACATTGGCCATTTTGAATTTTTAATCTTATTTCTATTGGACTTTTACAAGGGCGGATGGAAGTCATTTTCTGGTTCTTCCAAAAGACGGTCAGAATTTTTCAAGTTTACATTGATGGGCATCTAATTTTTTCTGTTGGAAGACAGTCAAAATTAGAGGATGGATCAACAAAGATGTAATTTGGAAGACTGTCAAAAAAACATATCTGAATCCCGCCCTGTATACTAACAGTAACAAGCAAACGTTTTGTATATGCTTTAGTCAAAGGAAATGTGAAAATCTTCCTTTTTCTTTTTCTTAAATTTTATGTCTTCCATAAGATAAATAATGCCTAGATGAATCATTTAGAAAATTACATTTTAATTAAATAAATCTTAGCTTTCAATAGCAAGCAAATTTCAAAGTAATGCTAAGGGTGTAATTTCTCTTTGTCAATTATTGCTCAAATATTACGGTAGATATTTTGCCAAAAACAAAATTTATGTCATGTTGTTTCAGATAATGTTAGGGAATGATTTCTTTCAGTTTCCAAACAACAGTTATTCCAAGCATTTTTTTTTTCAAAAAATATGATTAACAAGCTTTTCAAGTTTTCTCTAAACTTGAAAATTAATGGGTCAACTTACATAGGTCAGGTCAAATGTGATAAAGTCCAAACCTGAGACTAGTGTTACCAATATGTCTAACCTCTGAAAGCAAAGAAAAGACAACAAGTTTATACCACATCCATATTGCTTCCCTGCTTTGAACACCGTTTGTATGCCTGGGTTAAATAAGCAGTGAAATCAATGAGCACTAGGCAGGGTTACAGTGGTTTAAACTAAAAGTCTAAAACTAAAAAAAATCCATTAAAACTGAGCTTTGCATCCCCGGGAGGGCTTCCACACAGCGGAGGTTATCCCCCCCCCCCCCCTCATACCTCACTGTCCAGCACCAATGCCTCCTTCACATAGTGCTTCTTCACCATCTTCACATTACTCTCAAAGCAATGCAAGTAACTCTCCAGTAACCCGTCATTCATGGCCATAAACAACCAGGATCGACCTGATTGCAAAAGGTATTTATAAATATTAATTAAGTTTACCATCCAAACAAAACTGCTTCATTTACAAAATAATAATAATATATTATTCAGACATAAAATTAAAATTATTTCAATAAGATAACAGATAAAGTGGAATTCAGAGAGATACGTTTAATCTCTTGTTCAATCAAAGTACTCACAATCTAAAAATGTCCCTTTTTTCTTTTCTCTTTTATTTATGTATTAGTTTCATACTTGTAACAAAAAGACTCATATAAACTATTTATCATCTAAATGACTAATATTCATTCAAAATCCAAAAATAAAATTAAATAACAACATTCATCTCTCATCAAGAATTCCAGATCATACCTCTTCCCAGCTCAGTGGTGACGTTGGTAAGCATTTTGATTTCTTTGACCGAGGTTCTGTGAGTGAATTCCCGCACCACCATCCAGTATCCCCTGGTCACACTGCGAAGTCTGAGGAGAAAAAGAGACATTACAATCACGGTGTAATTGATTTTTTCACCTTTTACATTTGTATCTTTCTAACCCTCTCAACATGATGCAAAGTCTGCACATAACAACAGAATAGGGTCATCACAATCTTTGTAGAACTGTTATTGATATTTCACCTGGCTACGTCTTTTGTTTTTTTAACATATCAAGATTTTTTTTTAGTTTCAGAATTATGACAAGTTTCACACATGTCATTTTTTCAATTTATTAACCTAAATTTCAAAAATTAATTTTTGTTCCTAAAAAAAAAGAAAAAATATTCTGACATAAACCTAAAATGATAAATAGTTATGGATTGTACAAGTATCTTTTCTCTAAAGAGCATTTAGTAAAAAATTTTCACAAAAACATCACAATACCCTTGGATGATATTCCTGTACTTACCCATGAAGCAAGGCATGGTCCAAGTGTTCACACAGTTTATTCAGCTCCCAATCTTGATTTGTGAGGACTAGTGGAGAAGAGGGACCTCTCAGGATATGAAGTTCTTGTATCTGAATTGAATTGAAAACTAAAAATTAAATATGGCAAAATAAAGCTGGCAGTACAGGAATATATGTATTCTTTATTATTAAAAAAAATCTTTCAAGCAGCAGTGACTAACAAGAATGCTAGTATAATTATAGATTATTTCCACACTCACTCACAAATACTAATATAAAAGATATTGCTAAAGGATTAACACCAAACATAAGCATACAGATTTTGCTCACAAACTTAAATATCAAGTAACTCCAAAGTGAGTTTATTTATAAAGAGTTCAGTACTTGCTGATGAATCCATGGTGAAATGAGATAGACACAGAGGCTATCTCCTGTTATCTCAATTTTTAAACAAGATAATAAAAATAATCATCGTACAAGCTCAAATAAATATATATATCTAATCTACATGATTTGAGTCTTTACTTAGTAACTGTACATTATGTTTAAATATGAATGACCTTTGCAGGGGCGGACAGAAAGCATCTTCTGAGTCTTCCAGAAGATTGTCAGAATTTTTAAGTTTACATCTAATTTTTTTCTTTTGTAAGTCAGTCAGAAAAGGAGGAAGGGTCAACAAAGATAATTTGGAACCTCGTCAGATAATATCTCTGGATCCGCCCCTGCTTTGACCTTAAGCATCCCTCTGAGTCACAATCAATGCTTAATTTCATTTAAATACAAAACCAAAGCTATAATTAGTCTGGACACACATGGCTTATCTGATGGTACAGTGTTCATGCAAAATGGGGTTTAAATATATTCTCCTTCACTGAATTTATACTTGTACATATAAATCAGTAGCAACCTGCTGCAACCTGTCTTCGCGGCCAAAATACTTGACTCATTTTCACCACAGGATGAATTTAATTGGACTAAATTAGTCTTAAGTAAATTCAAGCTCCCTGGACAATGAAGTTATTTCTAATTGCTATAATTTCACCTGTATCTGCCCTCCCTTAAACTAGTGTGTTTCACTTTCAAGTGATTATAGCCTTAAATATAATGGTGAGGTTAGAAGAGCATTAAATTCCAGTATTTCCACCACCACTTTCTGTCTATTGAAGTAATGCCTGCAAAAACAGGTTTAGTTCTCCTGTGTGCTTATTTAGCAGTGACTGAACAATTCTGAATAAGACATCACTCATATTAGTGAAAATAGTCAACTATGTATAAAGCCATGCATTTTGATCCCCTTTCTTTAACCAAAAATAAATGTGACTGTCAAATGCTAATGCTACAGTTTCAATGATTAAATAACCAGATTTTTTTCCTATCTCATTGATCATTTAAAATAATTGTTTGTAAAATAAACAATAAATAAAACTGCCTGATAGTAAGTAATTCAAACAAATTGGCCTTAAGAACCCCCCATCCTTGCACCCTAGGAAAAATCAAATTCCATCTCTCATCAAGTACTCTTAGAATAAATGGACCAGTCAAAACATAGCAATTATTACTGAACATTACAGCAGTAGTATTACAATGGCTGCTTCATGTCAGTACCCCCAGTAAGGACAGAAAAGAACATACATGTACTGTACTACATGTAGTACATAATAAGATTATGTGGCACAGCGTTCATTCAATGTTTACAGTGATACAGCAACCAAATTAACCATCTGAAATTCCCCAGTTCAGGGCCTAACTGTGCTACTTTCTGCTTTCAGTAGAAGAGCGAAGATCTGAACGGAGGCAATATATATATATATAGATGTGCCTGTGCAGATTTTGAATTGATCACATGACGATGTCTCACCTTCTTTATCGACTTTGAAATACCATCTAAAATACGATCCTTGAGCATTAAGCGTTCTTGTGACCTCGGCCCCACCAAATAGTTTCTTCTCCATTTCCTAGAGTCCCCCATGGGGGCAGCCATAGTTTGTTAATTGGTTTGATCACTCACTCAGCTGATTTTCACGACCTGGAACCTCCATATTTGTTTTGGTTTTCTCTCCATGTCACAACCCGGAAATGCGATACGAGATTTCTATCTGTGTTTTGACTGTAGAAGGCAATAAAATACCTTATTATATAAAATAAATACTACATTTTCACTTAATTATTTTACGATAGTATTTTAAAGTGTTAAATGCATAACAGTAACCGTCCCAATGAAGATGTTTAATTTATTTCGCTAACGCGACCTTGACCTTTACCGCGTGTACCCTACATGGAGACATAGCCACATAAACATCACTTCCAAGATGGCAAGTTTGAATCAACAGCTGCAAGATTATCTCAAATCTCAGTCTTCTGATTCCGTCAGCAGATCTAATGGCGAAGGAGGGGGAGGCTATATGTCATGGTTCAAAGGAAGCTCAGATCCCTCTACAGATGGAGATATAACAATTGACGAGTCGGCTAATGGCTGGTTTGGAGAGGCGCAAAAAGACCCACTGCTGCCTAGTTTAGTAAGATGTATTTTAAAAAATGCACTGCGCTTAACGCCTAAGCCTTTTTAGTAAATTTGTAATTGCATTTCTCACTCAAACCTCACCTAACTTTAAGTCCTTAATATGCTACTTAGAACAGACCCCATTATCGACAGACTATGAAAATCCAACTGCTGGACAGAACTTCTTATTTTCATCTTTGGCTTGTACCAGCTGATGTAGGAGATGGCAGTGCAAAATGTAGCAGAATAAGACCTCCAAAATTAAATTTACTGCAGGTAACCCACTGCCTCCCATATGTATACATACAGTGTAGTAGAGTTTTTTTTTTTTTTTTTTTTTTTTTTTTTTTTTTTTTTTTTTTTTGCAGTAAGTCCAACTCAGATTTACTAGTATTTAAACTTGTTTTGTTTCAGAGCAAGAAGCAGAGAATATTTGGCTTTGTGGGCTGTGTCTTAATGGGTATTTTTTGTTTTACTATGGTAGGTGCTGAAAGAAAATTGTAATTAGCCTTTGATTGGGGTACTATACCAGTATATCATTTGGTTATAATATGGTTAACCAAACATTTTTAATATTATTTTTGATCTATATTATCAGAAACCATTGAAGTTTGTAGAGTGTTTTTCTAGACCATTTACACATTATTATTTCTTTTTAACAGTGAATGTAAAACTGTTTATTACCTTTGCAGGCAAGTTTGTATCTCCCTTTCCTTATTCTCAAAGCAAGAAAATTTGCTCTCATGTACTCCTTGGGAAGTTTGTTCTTTGTATTCAGGTAGGTGAGATGTACACTGCTTTTTATTGGTTTTCAGAATATAGAACATTATTTGTTGCATTGATAAAAACCATTTACTGGTAACATGTCAAAAGTCTGCCTACCTATGTGATCAGCTAAGAGGATATGGTAGTTTGAAATAAATGTAAGTCAAAGCACATTGTAATATTGAAAAGTCATTCCTATCTCTCTGGTTTTCATGATCAGGCCTTGTGTAATTGAGTTTGTAAGAAATAAACTTAATTTGATTTAATTATTCATATTTCATAAATGCAGTACCAAAATCAAAATGCCATTGAATAAAATGTCAAACAAAATTTAAGATACACATTTCAATTTTTTTCAGTTTTTCTTTCCTATGGGGGCCAACAAATCATGTGAAGCATTTATTCTCTGGCCAGCGGATATTATTTAGTACAGCGTACTTTGGATCTTTGTTTGCAACATTATATTGTGCATTAGTGGTACGTGTAGAGACCAAGTCCTCATGTCATAAAAGATTTGTTTTTAAAATGTGATATATTTCAGCAATGTTTTTTTAAATACAAAGCTCCATTTCATAGAATTACTAATAAAATAAAAACATTGTGACTACAAGTCTCATAGAAAACTTTATTGAAATGTAAAGCAAAATAATTAGGAATGCTTTAATATTTGTTCCAGATGAGGAGTACATTGTTTACAATTTGTGCAGCTATATTCCAGATAGGAGCTTTAGTATGGTAACTTAAAATTTTGCTTATTAGCCCCCACCCCTTTCCCTCTTTGCATGTCAGTGCTGCAAAATTTACAATGATGGCTCCATTCTAGTAGTTTTCCAATACACCATCACTCCAAATGTCCAATCATCAAGAGTTTACAAGGTGAAATATAATTTCCCTCTGATGCACATTCTGTCATCGATGCATGAGCACGATTTCTGTGAAATGATTCTATAACTGCAGGTTCCAGAGTTACTTTAGAACATGTTTTTCAATTGTATCCAATTAATTATTATCATTTTTGTTCAATGCGCAATGCAATAACTCAATTATCTTATGATTCCATTTTTATTCTTTTATTATTGGTAATTTTAGGGTCTCAGCGACCCCAATTATTCAGCTCAGGAGAGAATATTGAAAATTTGTTTTCTGCTCTTTCCAGGTACATAGTAAGCTATATCCCAGGAGGACAGACAGGGCTCAAGTTTTTCACCAAAATATTTTATTCAGCTTGCTCAAAGACCGTGCAAAAGACACTCCCTGTGTGAAAATGTGCAAATTAGCAGACTTTGTTGGACTCTAAAATTAGGATATATTTATTCTGAATCAATATTTGTGGGGAATGTGTAGGTTTATTTTTGTATAAAATAAAATGTATATTTGACATCTTCTTGTGTTGTTTAAAAATTGATTGAACTTCCAACATTTATAATGTACAACTTTACCTGTTTTGAGTATATGATTAAACAATCTAATGACCAGTTTACGTTTAGAATTTAATTTTATTTATTATGAACATAACAGAAAAACAAACAACATTTAAGATGGATAACTAAGAGTTGAGCAACTCTTCCCATTGTTTTATTTTAAAAATATATGGTACTATAATTTTTGTATTATTTTTGCCAGGCAGAGATAGTCCCTGGAGGAATATTTTTACATTTCCACTATAAGCATAAGTCTCAAGTCTAATGTTTTATAATCATTTGTGACAATGGAAAGCAATATGATGGAGCATGCTCAATATTTTAGTATTTAAAGAAAAAAATTGTTGCTCTGGAATATAAAATAACATTTTATCTAGATTTACATACCTTCTTTCTAATTATTTAGAGAAAGATCGTCAATGAAAATAAGTAAACCCTACATTAATTTCAATAACTTACCGACATATTTGGTATTGTCACACATTAAAGAAGCAACATTTATCAAACTCTCTCTTTCTCTGATAAAGTAATAATATGACAGGTTTAGGTGTTTCAGAAGTTTCAAGACTTTAATCCATTTGAACACCTTAACTCATCCTGAAGAAAGTTTTATATACTTTTCTGATAATTTACATTGCTACATCATAATAAGAGTAGTACTTCTGATCTGATTACTTCCAAAACAGAATTCTGCATATATATATATATATATATATATATATATATATATATATATATATATATATATCAATTATCCTTCCAATAACTATCATTAAAACCTTTCAATCAGCTCTCACCAACCACATCACTTGCCAGTTCTTACTGCATTTTGTACAATCACCACCGAGAATAGACCTCTATTCATTGTCTAATTTTTTCTTTTTTGCTGCACTCCCATTCTCCTCTGCGTAATCTCCATACCCATAGGCATCATTACTCCCTCCATACCCTCCCATGTACCCTGACATGTCACCATAGTAACTGTCATAGTAACCACTAGAATGGTACTGATCCCCATAGTTGCCATAGCCACCGTAACCATAGTTACCACCATTGTAATAGTTATAATAGTCACTGTAGTAGTTACTGCCACTGGAATTGTTATTGTAGCCAGTGGAGCCACCTGCTGAGTCTGTATTAGATGAATTATTGCTATCACCAGTTCTGCTGCCACCTCCTAATGAGCTGTAGCCTAGTGTTCTCTCTCTCATGCCTGCCAACATGCTATCAACTGCCGAAAAGTCCCATGAAAATCCAGAAGTGAGACTGCTGTCCTTTTCTTTCCCTTTTTCCTTGCCCTCCTTCCCACTGCCACCACTGCTGCTGCTGCCACTCCCCCAGCCCTGTCCGTTGCCTCCCCACCCGCTGCTATCATAACTGCCGTACTGTTCATACTGTTGCCACTGCCACTGGTGGTACTGGCGCTGATACTCTTCCTGGCGCCACCTATACTCCTCCACCTGGCGCCTGTACCTCTCCACTTGGTCCTGTTCCTCACCTGTCCCTTCCCCTTCCTCCAGGTCCTGGCCATCCTCTCCCTTGTTGTGGAGCTGATCCAGGATCTTCTGGAGATAGGGGTTGGCCTGCATTAACACATTGGGGTCTGGGTCACCAAGCAATGACCCCTTGTTGTCGCTGCTGCGACTGTTGCCTAGCAACCCTTGACTCATCAGCGCAGGGATGTTGGTTGGAGGCACACCAGGAAGTAATGGCCTTTTACCTAGAAGTCCCTCAGTTTTATCAGAACTGCTACCATTCTCAGAATCTTGCCCTTTGTTCTTGGATGGCATCACCATTTTGATTGAAGGATGGTCACCAAGGAGACCCCTGGGTCCATCTAAAACAGGGAGCGAGCCCATCAAAGGAGAAACGCCACCAGGAACACCCTCTGGCCTGTCTCCTAGCAACCCCTGATTGGGCTGCAGCTCGTCCACAGGATTCTGGGATATCACAGGACAATTGGGAGTGGGTAGGAGTCCGACGCCCTCAGCAGCAGTGCCTTCTGTTTTGGCAACGCTCTCTTCTGTATTCTCTTCTTCTGCAGCCTCATCTTCGATTTCACCAGACTCTGTGTATGTGATGATGGCATATGGACAACAATGGCGCGGCCTTTTCACTGTGGTTCTGCCACCTCCAGGTTGAAACTCAAACAGGTACACCTGGAAATATGTTGACATTAAAATGGTATAAAATGACATCTATTAATAGTATAATTTATGATTGGTTCTTCCAACAACACCTAAAAATCAGAGCTATTACCAATCCAGTATTCCAACATCTCAAATGTCACCTTCATCAGTAGGAAGTGAGGGTTTGGGTGTTATAATATATTACTATTATTATATAACCTTTACTTGGGAGGGCAGATGTTTGTACTGGTTTTGGAGTTGGAATAACCTATCATTACAAAATTGAGTGCAGAACACAATTTTTTTAATAGAATGAAGCAACAAAGGAGATTCTGGGCAGCCCAGATGTCAGTGTCTACCACTCTGCCTTATCATTACGATTCATTAGGGAAAAAATCATTGACAATGATCAATCAATATTACGCGAAATTTGCTTTTTTTCCCAGTGATACTCCAAGCTTACAGAGTACAAAGTTGTGTTCTCCTCTGGTACTAAACCTACCTGAGAGTTGTCAAACGTTCCTCTCAACTGCTGCGTGGGATCGGGGTCAAACAGGGAGAAATGGCTGTCAAAGTCTGGGCTGGCAGGGCTGTACTCGTTGGCGCCCTGAGCCTTGGGACCCGTCTTGGTCAGACGCCCGTGCATGTACTGAAATAATTCACACAAAAATATCCGCTGTTTACATTTGCCTGCATTGCAACTCTGTCTGGCACTAAGAACATGATCTTTTTTATATTCTCGATATTGACTACATAAATTAAGAGATTTAGACATATTTCAACATGGAATAGTGTCATTATGCACTGTTTTATCACACCACAGTAAAGAAAATAATTTAACAGAACAATCTCTCTCTCTCTCCCCTCTCTTTCTCTCTCATATATATGTTTGCATTCATATATATATATATATATATATATATATATATATATATATATATATATATATATATATATATATATATATATATATATATATATGATCTTCACCTTACAAACCAGAAGCCTCAACGTCTTATCCCCAGGAGCTGCTTTCTCCAGGGCCCACCTTGTACAGATATCAGCATATTGACAGAGGTAGACCCCCTGGGAATTGTACCCCAGGGTGTTATAGAGGGAGTGCTCTGCCAGTAGGCCTGTCTTGCACAGCTTGCGGACTGCACTGCGCCCCAGGCCCCCAAGAAAACCATAGCGCTCTTCATACTCTTCTGGCTGGCGGCCCGCGACAACAAATTCATTCTTTTTTTCTGAAATGAAATCATTTATCTTCTTTTTTTTTCTGAAATGAAATCATTTATTCAAAATGAAAAAAAAACTTTTCATTCTCTTTTTTCTGAAATGAAATCATTTATTTGTAAATTAGACTGGAACTGAATAAGATATTGATGTTGTAAAGGGGTGCTGCACTAAAGGGATATTATATTGATTGGACTATTGATGCACCACAGCTAATTTAAGGGCTAGAAATCAGCAGGTCAAATCACTCAAAACTGTACATGACATACAGCTTACATTTTACTAGTACTTAATATAACCATGAGTCTTTCAGATAAGTCATCATTTTTTAATCATCAATATAAATGATTAATGGCCTGTCTGTCTTGTATATACATTTGAAGATACACCTAATCCACTGAGGTCAATCAGCCAATTTTACTCAACTATATATACTGCACCATCTTCACTGCAAGTCTGTTGCATGCTATCTAACTGCTCAGAATGCCAAACGTACTTGACAACATTTTTAAGTATGACACTTGACCAGTTAAAATGTTCTCACATTCTATAAAGCCTCCTGTCAAGTTCATCTCCCAATGCAGGCAAATTTAACTTCAAAGCAGCCAGCCTGACTAGTTTCAATTCTGTCATAAGTGCTAAGCTTCACATCAAATTAATATCTATCCTGCAAAATTAGTCTTAGTAAGTCTAAATACTCTCATAAATATTTCAACACCACATATCAAGTACATATCTAAGAAAATCCTGACTTCAACCATTACCCAAAAACTCCTGCTGTAACGCTTCATTCTCCACCAGTTCCACTTTCCCCACCTTCAGAGGGCACTTGTAGTCCTTGCCAAGACAGGCCTCTCCCACAACTTTCTCCAACTCCTGTCTCCTTGTGTCATCCTTCTCCAGGACAGTCAGCGTGACATCTAAGCAAAAATAAAAATCATGATTGTTGTTATTTTTTAATCACTTAATAAAATGTGTGTCTGGGCTGAGGACAGAGATAGAGGTAGAGGTGGCATCGTTTTTGGGTGTTTCATGGTCTGAAAAAGATGGCAAAGAGTAGCATAATAATAAAAAAGATAGACAGAGAGAGAAAAAAATTCAAAATGAAAACCAACTTTTTCAACGTATTGTAGAATCAAGAAAAAGTAACATAGCACAAGAAAAGACTTTAAAAAGTGAATGTGGTAACAAAACAGGACAGACAAGATTGAGATGACAAAAACAAGAAGAAAATTACTACTAAAATACATGCTGTAAGACAAAATGCATAAAATAAAACAGCAGATGTAGTAAAAAGGAAAAAAATCTTCATTCAACTGAAGAGAAGCATAAAGGAGCGCTACAGAGGGAGAAATGAAAAATACTGTGAAAATGATAAAAACAAAAGATGCATTTAAGTTCTACGTAGTGGTCCAGGAATGGAAATCGGACCCAAAGAAAGAGGAAAATCAGTGTAATAAGACATAGAATTAAGACAGAAAAGCAATAAAAGGGGAAAACTGTATTTCCACACTGTGCGTGTAACACATCCACCAAAAAGGAAACAGAGAAGAGCTGTCATGGACTACAAAGCCTTTTGTAAATTTTCTCTAAAAATATATATTGTCATTGTCAATAGTGCCTTGTACCTCTAACTCTGCTTTTATAATCCAATATGATTCTTGAAAATTTTTCTACAAACCATTCATTTCAAAACTAACATCCACACCGTTTTCCTCTTCCAGTGTCAAATAAATAAAATATAAATAATTAATTTAATAAATAAATAAAAGGCTTCGTAGTCTATATCTTGATAGTAGAAAGAGACAGGAGGGATAGACGTGAGAAATAAATGCCACAGTAATTTTGCCCCAGTTTCTCAATGTATGCTCCAGCACCTTAAGGGGAGGTTGCCATAGCGACTCGTACAGCAGCATAAAACCTTGTGCTATCGCTGCCTGTACATTCCGCATACAGTTTAAGTCATGATCTGTAAACAAAAAAGACGAAACAATGTAGTTCATAATACCAACTAATGTTTACGGTAGTACTTTCTGGCAATTTTCAAATAGTATTCTTTAAGTACGTTTTTCAAGATTTGTCATTATTCCTTGCTCACAGTAAAAAGAAAAGAAAATTAAAAAAAAAAAATTAAAAGACCATTGTGGGCATGAATCCGACATATCTTTTGGAACCTCAATTGCTTTTAAGACCTTATATCAATATTGCTTTGAAAACAAAATTTATTCTGTTTGTAGTACTAGAATTAATTAAATGCACATGTATACTAAAAACCAGTATTGCCAACGGCATGCTTTTCTGATTTAAATTTCTTTTTGTTTTCAGGCACTATTTTAAAGTGAAAAGTGTGACAAATAAACACATCCCTAATACAGTATATGCCAATACATCATGAACAGGTATGGCAATGAAAACTTGTATTTGGGTCACAAAACAATTTTCTAACATAAGTAAAGTGGAATAATGTGGGCTTAGATTTCAATGGTAACTTAATTACTATTACGTATATGAATGTTGAGTAAATTCCTCCTTTATGATTAAAAAGTAATTACAGTTATTTTTAGTTTCAGTTTCTAAATCTCTACGAAGTACTTACCTGACATGGTGGACAAAGTGTCGTTGCTGACGTAGATGGATTGACAGGCTGTAATCACACGTGTCCTTTTTTCTTCATAAATCAACAGGGTCTGTAACAAACCTTCCTGTAAGAGTAGACAGAAGAGTGAAACGCAGAATCTGGCAGTGCTTCTTACGTGTTTGTATTCATCATTGCACATTGAAAGGCTCGATTGAATAATAATAAAAATCACTGCTTACGAAATCTCACTACTCGAGCAGAGGTAATTCTAGAGACTCGAGTCAAGGCGACATCCATTTTGACTAGGAAAAAATTGGCGAGTCAAGAAAGCAACGCAGTGCTCCTTTTACCAAGCAAATGCACTCCATATAGTTAATACAGCTGCATTTTGGTTAAGTTATTTAAAACTATATTTCCAAAATTCGATTATGAAACAAGCAACAAGACAGAACTGATCACCTAGACGCTAAGTCGTCTCCCCTTTCTCCTCTTGCCGAACCTTGCTCCAACGTGCATAGAGCCTGGAGCCATATCATGGCAGGTCAAAAGATGGCGGAATATGTCATCTCAGAACAAATGCTAGATGTCACTGCAGACCAGAAGGTTAAACGCCTGTTTACTCCTTCCTATGGAAACCTGTGCTCTAATTACTAATCCCAGTGTCTTTAAAATTGCAATTCCACATTCGGTGAAATTAATATTTATTAGTATTTTGACATGTGCTTAAAAAAATCTGAAACTGAGAGACCAGTGTTGGAGACTCCGATTGTGCCCGTCTAGTGGGGGGTTAGTTGTAGAATTGAAAAAAACTTTATAACCTTTCTAAAATCAGTGGCGGATTTAGTGAGGGGGGGTCCTGACCCCCCTTTCGATTTCTGAAAAAATCACGCCAATGGTCCCTTCTTGAAATTAGAATTTTGACTAGCTGAGTCATAGTTCTTAATCGTACCAAAAAGCACCGTTCGCCCTCTTNCTCTTAAATACCAAAAAAAAAAAAAACTTTCGGACCCTTTGGCGGGCCCCAAACCCAACGCGAAGGGGGGAGGGGGGAGATTCGCATCCGCGGACCCCCTTCAAATAAAATTAATCCTGGATACGCCCCTGTAAAATGCACCTTTATTGAACAGAGCAAAGTGGTTAAAGGATTCAATCGTATATCAAGTGATAGGCCTATATATTACGATATATTCTGAGGAATTTGAACTTTATGTAAAGAGTATACAGTTTATTGCGAAAAATTGCAATCTTAATATTCCTGATTAATGCAGAGGAAAGAAAATTAAATTACTTGATAGTTTTCTTTACTCATTTTGTATATTTTCTCTGTAAATTACTGGATTCTAATAGCTAGGTTGATTTATTAGAGGAATATTATATATAATATCGATAAAAAGTCAGAAAGAAAAAGACCGCTTACAGCTAGGTTATCATAACTCAAAGAAAGCTTCTGGACGTAAAGTCATGGATATTAACAACAACAAGGAAATCAATTTTAAGCTTTTCATACAAATACAAGCCTAGCTACAGCAATATGAACCCAGGTATTACATGTAATACCCTCACTCGTTTCTCTCCGTACTTGATAACGCGTTTACCTATTTCCCCTCTTTAGCACATTTTTAAAATATCTCATTCTACTTATATATATATTTATCAAAAACTAGTATTCATGTATTCTAAAACCAAAAATCTGAAATTGTTATTTCAATTACGTCATATTTGGAAAGTTCATTCTTGTTAACAACGTTGTTTGTGAAATAAACCGATCAGTTACAATTGCAACCTCGTAGGTCGTTCGCGTTTTTCACTCTTGCCAAATACAGAGAAATAAGCACGAGGTGACTCATAAAAATATTATACTCGCACTTTTATTCAATTGAAATGACTTAGTTTATTCCTGTTAATTTGCGACTGCTGAAATCATAACCATCTAACTTCACAGCATACACCGGCCTTTTCTTCAAGAAAAATCGTACTAGCTAGAATTCTGTCACTTCAAAACATATACATTCTCTTTTCATATTTGTCCACAATTTCTGGACATTTGATATGTCTTGGTCGTGTTATGTATAATTAAGGACTTACAGGGCAAGAAAAAGCAGATTTATCATGCAAATACAGAAAGATTAGTGACAGGGGTTTAGCTCTAAAAGAGACTACTTAGACTGTAATGCATCATAAACATTGGGAAACAAATAAGAATACACAGAAGTGTCACCCCTACTGAACCAATACTTTGGGGGAGATAGATGATTGTGGAATGATATGCTTCTGGTATCATTTTATTTACATCAAATTTCACAAAAAGACCAACAATACAATTCTATGGTACAGCGGTTTTATACTCATTAGTCACATTATAAGTAAACCAGGCATTATAACTTTGATTACTCTGATTCAGGGGGTGACACTTCTATTGTTCAGTGTGTGTACAGTGTAGCTACCTCACGAATTGCAATGCAGAAAAATAAAGTGTTATTTAAAGCTTTAAGTGCAACTCCATGAGATCCACCAAAATGGGTTTCCCGGGGAAATAAGCATTTTTTTTCGTACTCATGAATCATATTTGTCTATCCCTCTCTTCACTTGGATTCGACCTTCGATTGAATGTATAAAGGTGAATTGAGTTTAAAATTGAATTTAAAATGGAGTCGTTAATGAGGGCATTAAATTTGTGCTCACAAATCTGAGGCTAGAGTTAGAAAATGCCTAATCGGTCGTTTTCAGGGACTAAAGTTTTAACATTGGCTTACTCAGACTAGAATGACAGCGCTATACAAATGTAGACCCTAGCTTGTGCCTAGATGTTTCAGTAAATGGTTATCAATTCTTACCACGCCACGCTAGTTAGAACATCTTGTAACTAAACCTTACTGTAATGTTTCGTAATACTAGGTGTTCCCTTGGGGAACAAAAAAGTCTTATATGTCATTAAAGAAGCCTTTTTTATGAGCATGGTAAATTATGAATATGTTGTAGTTGGATACCCTGTACTGAATTAGCTTGCAATGTTATTTAGTTACAGGAAGAAATAGAATTACAAAAGCGTAGGGTAATTTGCACCCTGAAATCACGAAACAAAATCGATAATGAAGCATGCACAGGTGTGTCTGACAAGCAGATCCGTAGTTAAACTCTTGCTAAACACATGTTTTACTTATTATTGATCATCACTTTGAAATACTGACGCGACGAAATCGTCTGGTAAAGAGTACACCCAATTTTGAGGGATCAAATCGAATGGTCTAGGGTGACTTCGATTCTCTCTTCCAAAGACACACAAGTATTTATTTACATTCCTATGAACAGGGAAAATATCGCTACGCAACGATGCCGACCAATTCGTCCAGCGAATACAACGAAACAGGAAACATCACTGCCTTATGGAATCAGCCAGGGTTTTTTGATGATACCAGATGGGCCAACATCACCGTGACCGTGTTGACCGCCATCTTGGCAATCGTTGGAACGTTCGGTAACATTTGCGTAATTATCATTACAAGAAGCACTCCGTCTCTAAAAACATGGTGGAATTCATTCCACATTAACCTAGCACTGGTCGACCTGTTCATGTCCATCTTCGGGTGTCCGGCATTCATTTTGATTGTTTGGTCATGGGATGAATCGACGCTTTCTATCGTCTGCTTTCTAGGGCGCATTTTGGCCGTGGGGCCATTTATGAATATTGTTATTTTGACGAGTATTAGTATCTTGCGAGCGGCAAAATTTCACAAACCTACTCTGACCGAAAATAAGCATACATGTTTTTTTAAGACATGTGTGACTGTACATTGGATTATCGGCACAGTATACTTTGCCCTTGTTTCCGCGACTAACAAAGCATTTGTTCTCCCCCTGCAATGTCACAAGGGCGAAGATCGGCCACTCGGGGTTTTATTCGTTATTACTTATACTTTAGGGATAACTTGCGTTATAGTAACAATCGTATCTTATCTGTCGGTAGTGAAGAAAATTTTAAAGCAACGCATAATGATTAAACCTTATTACACTGGTCATACCGTCCATACAGTATCCAGGAATGTCGCTGACATGTTTCTGGCGGAAGTTGGCGACAACACAAGAGAATCATCTTCTCCAACGTTTACTCAACTAGGGCGTGCCTCACGACAGGATAAAAAAAGCCGTAATGCTTGCGATCGTATACCTAAATATTCAGGAAAGGCGCAGTCCAGTATAGAAGATGTTTTGGATGAGGACGATCAGCGACTGCCAGAAGTTTCATCCTTCTCTACCTCGCAGCAAGCAAACATAGTGCAATTCTCCAAAGGAGAAAATTCTGTCAGTGTCCAAATTCGACGGACAAGATCCAAAGAGAACCCCGCTTGCGATTGTATACCAAAATATTCAGGAAAGGTGCAGTCCAGAATAGAAGATGTTTTGGATGAGGATGATCAGCGACTGCCAGAAGTTTCATCCTTTTCCACCTCGCAGCAAGCAAACATAGTGCAATTCTCCCAGAGAGGAAATTCCGCGAGTGTCCAAATTCGACGGACAAGATCCAACGAGAACCTTGCTCTTGAAGCCATAGATATTATATCAGAAGAAACAACCGACGCTATGGAGGTGCGCATAGGTTCGGACATACACTATGTCAAACTCATACAGAAAGACCATCAAGTTATTATGTCTAGCTTAATTGTATTGGCCACATTTCTAATTAGCATTCTGCCTTTTCTAATCATTAATATGATATTTGAATTACAAGCGTCAAATCTTAGTAAAAACCAGTATATTGCAAGTATAATTGCAGGCGCACTTGCTTTTATTAATACATGTGCTAATCCTTACATATATACACTGAGGTCCCGTGTATTTCGGAAGCGTCTTGGCTCTTTAGTTCACGAAATCGCCAATAATTATTGTTTTCGACGTGGAGATAGTTCCTCCCAAACTGTAGAGAACAATTTTATTTAGATGTTGAAGTGCTTTATAACAATATATTTGAATACACGTTATCTACAGACTTGGCATTTGATATGGAATATTTCAGTTTCGAAGTTATGCCTCTAGGTAAAAATTCGTTCTTAAAAAAAAAAAAAAAAAAAAAAAAAAAATCCGATCTCATAGAAGATTTGTGAATGGAGAAGTGTGTAGTCAGGTGTGTCGCTACCAATGTACTGACTTTCATGTCTGTTGCGCTGCTACATTATGTAATATGCAGTGATTTTATTGGGTAGTGCTCCTTTGGGCTGGCCAAAGCTTGGCTTAGGCAAAGCTTGGTTCTGTCAAAAAAGTATCCATTTGTCGGCAACTACTGGATAGAAGAATTTGAAATTTTGCATGCAAGCGGTCAGTTTTGCAGTGCGTTAAATGAGCTAAGTAGTGCATTACAAATTTGTTAATCTGTGGCAGAATGGTGCGAAAATGACAGACATTACCAGACAGATTATAGCGCCAAACGGAACGGTACCCACAGTTTTATAGAGTAATGCCCAGACTGATGTACGTACCTACACAGAGGTCACCCCCAATGTATCGAAATATTACCTACAGGGTACAGGACCCACTGTCTGTCGGAATACGCTGCTGCAACTACCGGTAAACAAAAAACACCTAGTCCGTTCAGAACGAAGGGTAAATTGCCACCAAAACGCATTTTTCAAAGCCTTTAGCGACCACCAAACTGGTTTTAGCAGGTTAGAATACAAAACGACCTCCGAGGCACCCACTGCAAACAGCAAAACATCGTCGTCTGTTTCTATAATTAATTGGGGGCCATGACCGTTTCTGGGTAGAACACTGAAACCGCGTGGCTTTCTTTATTGAGGTCAAATTTAACTTGCACCGCCCAATTAGTCAAAACAGAGTTTAAAGACACCCAGCAGAGGCCTACGACGAAGCATGTGCCGGGTCAAAAGTGACAAGGATCATTGACAGCGTCAGTATTTGGAGTGGGTACCACTGAATCAGATCAAATAAAGGGATAATTTCGGAACGACTTGACTATCATTTGACAGGGGGCACCTTAGGAACAATTTTAGGTTGCACGGTGAGGTTGCCGGTTCACACAAAGCACTTTTAATAGCAGATAACTTACAGAACCAAGGGAATGAGCAGCTACCCTGGTCATCAAAATCGCCACATTTGAACCACATAAACAATATGTGAGTAGGCCATTACTCACCAAATCAACTGCCTACATGCCCTACAACAAAACTGGACCAAATTGGACAACTTTTGACCGATTCCTGGAATGTTCTTACAGATTGAACTCTAAAAACCTACCCCAAGGAATGCTTTGCCGCTTGAGAGCGCGGGTAACAACCAGAAGAGGCCAGGCGTAACAGCGACCATTACTGTGACTAGAAACTGACATGAGGGTCTTTTGTGGAGCAATTAACTCTTTTACAGACGATAATTTGGAAAATATGGAGATCCAAAATATCTTTTTTAACGTATGACTATGACATAGAATAGGCAATGTATTTCTGTTTGCTTCACTGTCGATTCCAATCAATGAACTGATGTCACCATGTCATCAAAGAGATAATTTATAAGTTATTATACACGATTTTAATCCTTATTTTCATTCATCAGTCAGCAAAATAGGTAAAAAAAAAAAAAAAACTGACGAAAAATTACTTGGAAAAAAATATTCCATATTAAATGTCAAGTCTGTATTATATTAAAGACAGTCGATATACAGCGCCAGGGCGTCATTCATTTACCACAAGCAATGTATCTTGAAAGTATTAACTTGAACAAGCTGTTTTGTTTATTGCTCTTTATTGTAGGTGGTATTAAATTCGATTTTTGCAGGTTGTTACACATACATAAATACCCAGTATATATATATATATATATATATATATATATATATATGAAATAACTGTTAGATGGCTTCATACGTAGATTTTCTAAGCGGCTTGATCTGCATTTGGCTTAAATTTCCCTGAGTCTTTGTGTCAATTGGGCATTTGATCAGGCTGATTTTATCGTGTTCCATAGCTTAATTGTATCAATTTTAGTAACAAATATGTATAACGCCAGTCCTTTGCTTTTTGTGGTGAAGTAATAACTATAGTGCATGCTAGTACTGAATGCAAGTCCGACAGAATATTTATAATTTTTATGGATGTGTGACGATGTAAACAATAATATTTTGTATTAGTATTGAAGTGGGTTTTAACGTGGTTTGTTAGTGTTTTGTATTTGAAGATACACGTGACAAAAAAGGTATTTGCACGGGGTAACGTAATTCTCTGTTACTAAAGCAGGCTGCCGTTCTGAAAAAAAAAAAAAAAAAAAAGAGTGAAGTGAAATCAGAAGAGATACTCCTTAATTCTTTTCTTTCTTTTGAATAAGGCGCTTATTGTCTGCTATTCTATACATTGAAAATGATATATGCATATATACTGGGTTGCGAATGAAAGAGATTTATCAAGGATCTACAATGGATATACATGATATATATTTTCACGTGCAGTGCCCGGATCAATTCTGAAACAAAGCCTTTCAGATATTATATAATAAGGACAACTATTGGTCCGGTTGCTCAGTTTGATCCTTCTCAGTAAATAGATATGTTTAGGCAACTAAGGCCCCATTCAATATGGATGATCCGAGTACTAACTAATCCGCCGACTAAATATGGCGGAGCACAGTTCAAAAACGATGCCACATGTAACTGAAAGACGTAAATGCGCGACGTTGTCGCGCAGTGTAACTAAAGGCACTACCTTAATTATAAATTTCACTAAAATTCACACGAATCTTGTTTTTTGTTTTTATTTATTTAAAAAACTGCTAGGTACCCATGCAAATTTTGTCGCCATGGCAACTTGTTTTTAATATAAAACTGATTTATATTGTTAGATCGCCAGCAGTAGCTGCTCTGCTGACGCCATGTGCAACTAAAAGACGTAAATTTATGCGCGACGTCGTTGCGCAGTGTAACTAAATAAACTAACTTAATAATCATAATTTTCACTAAAATTCACACAAATCTTGTTTTTTATTGTTTTTATTTATTTATTGCAAAAACAAGAAAATCATAAGATGAATGCATTAAAAATGTTACAATGACAATTTATTATTACTCCTGCCAAATTACTAACTTAAAATATTGATTAAATAATATAATGCTAATAAATGAATGCAGAAAAATTAATTAAGGCAAAGAGGGGTTTTATGTCATAGTGATACGAAGAACAAGTGCAGACTTCATGGCAACTTGTTTTTAAGATAATGATTTGTATTGTTAGATCGCCAGCACCAACTGCTTTGCTGACGTAAATGCGCGACGTTGTTGCACAGTGTAACTAAAGACACTACCTTAATTATAATTTCACACAAATTACTAACTTAGAATATTGATTAAATAATTAATGCTAAAGAATGCAGAAAAATTTAATTAAGGCAAAGAGGAGTAGTGATATGAAGAACCGAGTGCAGACTTCAGATGAAGAACAAGTGCAGACTTCAGAATACTGGAAGAAAATATTTATTTTGTACAGATCCATAAAGTTCATAATGAAGTTTTGACAGTTTATTTTATAGTCTGTGGTATAGTATTACAGTGGCGGATTTAGAGGGCGGATCAGGGGGGTCCTGACCCCCCTTTCGATTTCTGGTCCCCTCCGGAAATTAGAATTTTGACTAGCTGAATCAGAGTTCTTAACCGTAGCCTAACAAATGGCACCGTTTGCCCTCTAAAATAGGCCTACCAACATTTTTCGGGGTCCCTCATCAGCCAACGCCAAGTGGGGAGGGGGGGGGGGAGAGGGGGGGCTTCGGATTTGCATCCCCGCCCCCCCCACCTCATTCATATTATCCTGGATCCGCTCCTGCTATTATAAGTACAGTAGGCCCTACTCATTGGCGGATTTAGGCGGGTGGCGATTTCTGAAAAAATCACACCTATATGGTCCCCTCTTGAAATTAGAATTTTTGACTAGCTGATTCATAGTTCTAAACCATAAGAAATGGCACCGTTCACCCTCTAAAATACCAAAAAATTTTAGGGGGGGGGGGGCGGGAGTCGGAATCATATCTGCGGACCCCCCTTTCAAATAATCCTGGATCCGCCCCTGAGTACTAAACTGTAGGGGATCTTGGTTCAATTGTAAACAAAGACAAATAGGGGTAGGGGAAGGAAATCATTAATAGTATAGGATTTAAGTAGGCCTATATGATATAACAGTGATTTGTATATTATTGGGTTGCTGAGCTCAGTACATGCCTACCTGCATGCATGCGCTATGTTTTTTAATTTATATGTTTATTTTTAAAAATCGACATATTGTGGACAAAGAAAAGAGACAAAATACCAGAATCACCAACGAACTCAACGTGATTCCTTCTTGGAAGTTCAGAGTTAAGCCCCTCTTGAAATCAACCAGATTTGTCATTATCGATGTATAGTATAATTCCATAGTATGAACGCATGCGCCGTACGGTGCAGTCAAAGAATCTAGGAGAAGGGGTTCTCTTTGTCGATGTTGTTGTTTTATCATTGGTGTTGTATCAACGAAAAGTAACGAAAAGTCTTAAGAAGAGTAAACGGCAGTATGAGGCCCTTCGGTCACCAGCCTGGCCCAAGGATGCCCATGGGGATGGACAGGATGATGGGACCCGGTCCTGGGTTTGAAGAGATGGGCCCACCGCGAGATGGTAAGCCGAGGAAGAAGAATCCAGTTTTTCTGGTATTCTTCTATCTGCCCCTGCCATAGTGAATATTTCACTCTGGTTGATATTTCTCGCCCCCTGCTTTAAATTTTGGAACGAATATGCAGTTTGGCCGTGAGACAGGGTATCATCCAACGCCCCCCTCCAAAAGGGGGAAAAATAATAAAAGAATTGAACATATGGGTCACTAGCACGAAATTCATGCGACAGTATTCCTGCAGACGATTCTGATATACATGCATGAATACTTGCTGATTTAGCACATGACAAAAAAGATGGTGTTTTAGTCAATTTTTGGTCTGAGTGGAAATAAAAATGAAAAACTCCCCATGTGCAATGTTTTGAAACAATCTTGTAATAGAACCATATTTTTGTTCAGGTCCAATGATGAACAACTTTGGCGGAGGAGGATTTGGTGGTGGAAGAGGCTTTGATGGACCCCTTGGGATGGGTCCCGGAAACATGAGGGACAACATGGGACCCCCTATGGGGCCTAGAGGTATGGAAATTTAAAGTACTTTAGATAAGGGTTAAATTGAATATTCATCTACTGTGTAATCAAAAAATAAAAAAAAAACTGTTAAAATACCATCCTGGTATCGTGCGAAAATTGGAACAACTGCCAAAACAGGTACATCTGGTGATAAACAGTTATGAAGAGCAGCACATTTGAATGTTTTTCATCAATGTTTTTATTCAAAAGTTATCACTTGACTTCATATCTGAGGTGTACCTATTATGACAACAAACCAATTGCAGCAGGATAGCATTGGTTGTGTGATGGGTATGGAACTTAAAAATCCAGTTGTTGTTTTTTGAATATTTTACCAATTTCTCTGCATATTTTACCTCTAATGATTCACAAGTGGGCACCCATGGACATTCCGTATAAATGTATGCAGATTTCCTGTATCTATTATGCCTACTCTACATATAGAATAGATGAGGGTTTGCCGAACCACAAAGAGATTCCATTGAAAAAAATAATTTTAATCCAAAAAGCCAAATTCTGATTTTCTAATGTCAAGATGTAACCTAGCTTTCTTCCCAAGAAATTTCATTTGTTTCCTGTTTTTAGAATGTTTTTATAAGGTCACATTCACAACAGATCTGAGGACTAATTGATTCGCAGACTAAATATGGCCAACCCCACTTAAATGCAATGCTGTCTTATCTCCAAATGGTCTCCCCACACCTGCCATCCCTGCAGGGGCCAAGCAACTTAACTTTGAAACCAAGATTTAATCTGTTAGACTATTAGGTCCCTGCAGGCCTGGCACCTGTGGTAGGTAGGGAGACCATTAGAAGATATGCAGCATGTATGATCAATGGACCAGTTAGTCTGTGGATCACTGATCTGAATGCAAATTAAATATTGCTAAACCCTTTATTTGATAGATAACATGGGACCAAGAGGAGAATTCATGGGGAATAATTTTAACAGAGGGAATGATTTTGGGCTGAGACCGCCAGGGTTTGATGATAGAATGGATGACATGGGCACTGGACATGGAGGAATGGGTCCCAGACCTGGAGGAATGGGACCTGGACCAGGAGGAATGGGTCCTGGGCCTGGAGGAATGGGACCTGGACCAGGAGGAATGGGTCCTGGGCCTGGAGGAATGGGACCTGGACCAGGAGGAATGGGACCCGGACCAGGAGGAATGGGACCCGGACCAGGAGGAATGGGTCCTGGACCTGGTGGAATGGGTCCTGGACCTGGTGGAATGGGCCCTGGACCTGGAGGAATGTGCCCTGGACCTGGTGGAATGGGCCCTGGACCTGGAGGAATGGGCCCTGGACCTGGAGGAATGGGTCCTGGACCTGGTGGCGGAATGGGACCCGGACCTGGTGGAATGGGCCCTGGACCTGGAGGAATGGGTCCTGGGCCAGGTGGAATGGGTCCTGGACCTGGAGGAATGGGACCTGGTGGCGGAATGGTACCCGGACCTGGTGGAATGGGCCCTGGACCTGGAGGAATGGGACCTGGTGGCGGAATGGGACCCGGACCTGGTGGAATGGGCCCTGGACCTGGAGGAATGGGACCCGGACCTGGTGGTGGAATGGGGCCCAGGCCTGGTGGATTGGGACCTGGTGGAGGAATGGGTCCTGGACCTGGTGGTGGAATGGGTCCTGGACCTGGTGGTGGAATGGGGCCCAGGCCTGGTGGAATGGGTCCAGGACCCATGGGTCCTGGTCAGGGAGGGATGGGGTCAGGTTATGGAGATGGTCAGCAGCAAATGATGGGTCAAGACTACAGCAACATGGACATCCATGACATGGTGAACCAGATGAATTCCATGATGACTGGCAATGGAGACATGAGCAGTAATCTCCAGAAAATGGAGACCATGATGGGCCACATGAGGAACATCTACCACCAGGTCAGGATACTACACATCACTGGGGGGTCCTGTGGTTAATTCTGATTGTTAGTTTGTAGCTACTAGTAGCTTAAAAGATGTGGTTTAAATAATCATATATGGCAAGCTATTCAGATTTTTATTTTATAAACTGCACACACCTCATAATTTATGATTTATATTACACATAGTTTATACTGCCTGTTTTTTCCCCCTTTGATAATTGAAGTCTCTTTAATACCATCTATGTTTTTTAAATAAACTTGACATAAATTTGAAAAATTTTATTTGAAAATTTTTTTTAGGCTGGTGGAGACTGGACCAGGCTAGGAATGGACCCAGCCACGTATTTCTACCAGTCCAGTCAGTGGCAGCAGTACTATGCTATGATCTATGGCGACGAAGCTGCTGCAGCCATGTTTGGTCTACAGCAGCCAAAGAAGAAGAAGAACAAGCAAGGAAAAGAAGGTAAATATTGGGAACACTGTTTAAAAGGTTTGGTGGTTAACTAGAGAAATATTGGGAACATTGTGTAAAAGGATTGATTTGTGGTTAACTAGATAGATATTGGAAACACTGGGTAAAAGGTATGGTTAAAGGTTAACTATGTCAATACTGTGAGCCTTTGTTACCCATGTACTTGTACCATTTAACATTAATATTGCAACCACCGTCTACATAAACAGCTTGCAAGTGAGTTCTCATACAACATTACGATAAGAAATGTGAGTGGATATTTAGACCCATTTGTTTTCAATTAAAATTAGACACTCAATTTTTTCTTGGCAGTTAACTGACTCAAGTACCTGCCATAAGGCCAAAAAACCATTTCTTCCTACTTTTTCCCCACAACCCGAAATTATGTCATGGATATTGGTTATAACATTGTTAAGAAGCTGCAAGACTAGGTATATTAATGAGCGAATGCCGTTAGTCATCCAGTATAAAAAAAAATGATAGTTATAAATGCCTCTGATACTGGATACTTGAGTTATTCATATTTATCCTTTAAAGTATATGAATCAGAAGATTGAAGTTTGTTTTCCAATGCTCTGTTTCAAGCCAAGACCCCAGACAACCAAGACCCCACCATGTCCAGCAGTGCAATACTGAAGGCGTTCTACCGTAACCCGGAATACAAGTCCGAAGTCGAACTTCAGAAGGAGGCCTGGCATAAGAAACAGCAGGAAAAATATTTAGCTAAAAGACTACAGCAAGATACACAGGTAAAGCCGTCTCCACAGGCTCCTGCGAAACAGGCAACGCAGACGCCACCAGGACAGAAGAAAAGTGGAGGATGGAAACCTGTGCCACCAAAGGGAGCTGCTAGTCAAGAGAAAACTTCAGGTTGGTTCAGAGGGTCAAAGTCCCATTTCAAAGTAAAATTAAGGGCAAGAATAGGCCTAATCTTAAAACAGAGAACATCTGGCTTACTTTGATATCTGTCAGTAATAGGTTTTAGTAACTTAGAATTGATCAGAATTCGGTGGTGATCCAGTAATTTAATAATAATAATAATAATAATTGAGCTGCTTCAGCAGAGGTCTGTACTCTGTGAGTGCTTTCCTTCACTAACAGTGTGAGGCATAGTATATTATGGTATTACTGTTTGCTTTAGAAAATATTTTATTGAATCCCCTACTTTCAGCATCTGATAAGAAAACGGGGAACAAACTGGACCACGAGAAGGACAAGGATGTCCAACAAATGGACAAGGATGTTAAAGAAAAGGACAAGGATGTCCAGGAAAAGAACAAGGATGTTCAAGAGAAGGACAAGAATGTCCAGGAAAAGAACAAAGATGTTCAAGAGAAGGGCAAGGATGTTCAAGAGAAGGACAAGGAATGGGAGGAATTCCAGAGGCAGATCCAAAAGTTGAAGGAAGAAGAAGAGAAAAGAAAAGAAGAGGAGAATAAGGAAGAGGAGGAAAAGAAGGAAAAGGAAAAAGGAGGTAAATTCATTGTCTTGGTGTAGATTTGACAGCTTGATGTTTTTTCTTTTTTACATATAGGCTGAACTTTTCAAATTCTTTCTCAGTTTCAGACTTTTTATCTCCGTTGAAACAGACACGGTCATGGAAAGTTTTTATGATTATGGCTGATTTCATATGATTTGAATGCTATGAGAAATTGCAAGCTACATTTTCAAAATTTTCAGTTTTCACAACTTGCGCCCATGCACATTGACATGGAGGTATTATTGGACATTCAGAAAATACATGTTACAAGGTATTATTAATATGACCTTTCAGATGTTTAGTTTCTTTCAAATTTATTCAATCTTTTGCAGAGGCTAAGAGCACGTCTGCTCCAAGCACAGAGACAAAGTTAGACCTGGAGAATACTGACTGGTCCTCGTGTAAACCTTGCAACATGAACTTTGAGTCCATAGACGTAAGTAGAAAGAGATGACATCAGATTAAATATTGGAACTTTTTTTTTTACAGCAAAATATAATAAATGAATAAATAAATATGTAATGTAAGTGAATAAAAAAATAAATTGGATAAAAAAGTAAAGAAATGGCTAATAGTCTCACCCCATTTTAACCTAATTGTATTGCTTTTCTTTAGGTTTTGAGTGTTAAAGTTAAGTAAAGTAGCTGGTAAAGACCAGCTTTTGGATAAAATGCTTTTGTGGAACTGTTCCCTGAACTCCTGTGATGCCAATATGATGTGCCTTCTGGGTAGAGAATTAAAAAAAAAAATTGACTATTTTGTCTTCCCAGCAATTCAAGGTCCACTGCAGAGGCATGTGGCACTCCATGAATGTACAGGCAGAAGAGGAGAAAGAGAGACAGAAACATATCCGAGAACGAGAAAAAGAGAAGGAAAAAGAGCGAGAGGCACGTTCACACCGAGGCCCAGATAGACGGAGAAGTAGGTCACCATACTCAAGAGAGAGAGATAGAGATCGCTACAGCAGACGATCCAGATCTCCCCGGCGCCGCGGACACTCAAGGGACCGTTCACGTGAAATATCACGTGAACGTTCACGTGGTATTTCACATGAACGTTCGCGTGGTATTTCACACGAACGTTCGCGTGGTCGAGATTATGATCTGGAATACAGAAGGTCTCATGATCCATACCACAGTCACAGTCGTGAAAGAGATCGCAATGGAAGGGGAAGAGAAAGGTACTAAAAGAATTCAAACAACATGGATATTATTCATTCTTGAAAATGGTGAAAAAATAGATTTCAAGTACCATGGATTGAAGTTACTGCCATGGAAATAATACTGAATTTTGAGGTGAATTGATTTGTCAGTAATGTGATTTTAGTTTTTTTATATAGCAAAATTACGTCTTATTTATTACGTGCCTTTCGCATAAGTCCACTTAATCTTCCTCTAACAGGTCAAGGTCACCACACCGCTGGTCTACAAGGCCACCAGTTGTGAAACAACCGGAAGAAAATGAGAAAAAAGAGGAGGAGGTAGATGAAGAAGATGAAGATGATGATGATGATGAAGAGTTAGACACCAGTTTTTGCAAGCTATGTAACCAGAAGTTTAACAATCCACAGGTGAGAAACCTGGTTGTTTTTATCTTGCAAGTAACAACTTGATGGCAAAGGTAGCAATATGAGATCTAGTCGTAAATACACTAATTCTTGCCCATTTATAGCAATGAAAGGGGGGGGGGAGTGTGTATGATTTCAGTTTAGAGTTGGTCATGTTTATTTCGGAAGTTAAAAAAGAGAGAAATGGAAAAAAATTTAAAGAAAAAAAAACTTTTTTTGTCAAGGCCTATTGGATGCACACCCGTGGCATGATTCACATTCACAAGACCCTGGAGAAGGAGAAAAAGAAGAACCCAGAACTCCAGAAAGAGGCTGACAGACAGAGAGAGATACAGGTAGGGTGCATGTCACTCTTAGGTAAAGGATTCTTTTCTCCTTTCCTTACTCACCTGTAAATATCCTGCTCGGTCAAACTCCAGGAATGTGTGTGATAAATGGGTAAGGGGTTCCCATAATTTGGGATATTTATGTATTTATACATTCGAGAAGCTGCTCATCCAAATTCCAGGAACGGAATGCCTCACTGGGATTTCATCTATCTTATGAAGAAGTACATCTCTTTTTATGTACAGTCCTGATTTGGTCATAAATTAGAGCATTTGTTGTTGAAGCCAGGAATGTTTCAGTATGATATTTTTCCCTGCTATGATGTTACAGGAGGGCTCCTGGAGAGAACCTGTGAGACAGAGGAAGTGGGAAGCGGCAGCGGAGAGAGATCTGGAGCCTGATGACATTGGAAAATTTGTTGATGGCTTCTATTGTAAGGTAATTTTGTTTATTTATTCATTTTTTTTCATTTGTTTTTGAAGTGTGTGGGGGGGGGGGGTCTGAGGTATAGGAAGAAAGCTTATAAATTTGAATCGATATATATATATATATATATATATATATATATATATATATATATATGCACACACACACGTACATTATTGGATGCGTTTTTCTTGTATTCCAATTTAATATGAAGCTAATATTTTGTCTATTGTGTCTGTAAACACCACAGTGTGGTGATACTTGCAAAAGGATTTCTGATGGGATGATACTTAAGCTGGACCCACTGGCTAAGCTTGTTAGTCCTTGAGTGCAAAACTCTGGTTTGTATTTAGTATCAGTTTATTCTAATATGGAATGTTGGTGTCTATCAGTTCTGTTACTTAAAATAATTATAGTTAAGGTTATTATATACAATTATAGGGCCCATCTTTTTCAAAACTAGCTCCCTTTGCTAAATTCTTCCAGTGTGTTTAATATATTGTAATATATTAGATTCAGTGCAATATAAATTGGAAAAACAACTTATTATATAAAAAAGTCTAATAAAGAAATAAGGCTTAATTAACTCTTCTTCTTGGGGTATATGTAGATATCCAGTATGGTGAGACAGATCACAAGGAAGCCATCCCTAAATGATATTTAAAGCAGAATTTTCTCAAGGTGATTATCATTTAGGGTGGCAAGTTATGTAGCTTCCTTGGTCAGGTTTAGCCTGTAAATATGTTGAAATGGAGTGCCAGGATTTGAAACATACCTTAGTATGATAAAATTCAAGCAATGTTTGAAATTAATGCTTGTCTGTCTGCCTGGGGCTGACAACTTTCAGAACGGGCCAAGAAGTTTTCTCACCTGGGAGACAATCGGTCCAGCTACTTTTCAAGGTGACTGGACGTTCGGTCCAGCAACTAATTTTCCTAAAAGGCAAACACTGATTTCAAGGCATTTACGGGCAGCCAAAATTCTTCTCTCTGTCACAGAAAATGCCTAGTTTTTGTATGGTGCTCCTCCAGGTCAGATCTCCACCATTTTCAGTCTGTGGTGATACGCCCAGTGTATGCATGCACCGCCACATGCAGCCACTGCCAATATCACATACAGGGACTTGCCTTTCTGTAGAGGACAGTTTTAGTGGGATTCAACTTTAATATATTAATATGATAAGCAAATCAGTTGATAAATAAATTGTTAAAAATGATTGATAGAAATTGATCAAAAATTAAGAAAAAAGTTCAGTGTCTTATGAGGGATGTGGTGGTCCTGACATTTCATGTAGTTATTACATTTTTTTTATGTGGAGAATATGGAATCAAAAAATGACAAGCCACAAGTTTTGATGGAACTGAATAAGGCTTCATTTGAGAAGAAGAATGTTTTTACCTGATCAAAAGAATTCTTTTTGAATTATTTTATTGTGCATGAGAGAAAGTTTTCCTGATTATGCCTGATTTCCAGATTTTCAGTCTTCATTTTGATGGCCTTTCAGGGTTAACAGTTTTTACAACTTAAACCTTTGTAAGGGTATTGAAAGAGAAAGTATCACACAATCATTTGATAATGAATACAGCTTTTTATATGGAAAATTCTTCAATTTTTGCCATGTTTGACAATGAAAATAAGAAGAGTGTTTTTGTTCTGAAATTCATTTCATCCCCACAAAGTTAAGGAAGTCATGTGGGGATATATAAGTACAGTAGCAAATAGTTGTTTGATATTTCCCAAATTAACGCAGGGGGCTGAAATCCGGATTTTAAACTTTAAGGGTTTTACGAGGTGAGTGTCTTTTCATTGAAAAAAAAAGAAGTAAATAAAAGCTTATGCTAAGAGATATTTGAACATGATAGAGGGATTATTTGCTTACTAACATAGTGTATATGTAAGTTATCCCAGATTTCATGCGAAAAAAAAGTTGTCTGTTCAAATGATAGATGGCAGCACGATAGCAAATTCTCTTTATGACTGACAGATGACGGCACAATAGAAGAGTGACAAATGAAATCCAAGAGTTCTCGGAGGAGAAATGAAATTAACATAGCAGATTAATTCCTTTATTTATGTACAGACATACATGGCCTGTACATATAGCCATTACCTGTATCTGTTGTTGCCGTCGGCGGTGGCAGCGTCATTGCCCTGCACTTTCAGAGATGACATGATAAGTCAAAAGCCCTCATCAAAATTGACAGAATCTATTTTGTACAACATTATTTGTTTTTATACCTGTACATTTTACAGCTTTGCTGCTTGTTTTCACAAAGCACTGAAAAATATTGTGAGTTGGGTATAAATTCCATTCAAAATATCTATAATTCCGTGATAAGTGTAATTTTGTTAATGGATTTTCTTTTTGTTTGTATTTGGGACATTGTAGGCCTGTGATGTGACGTGCACTTCTGAGATCTCCTTACAAGCTCACATGGATGGAATCAAACATTTAAAGGTACGTAAAGCCATGAGACAAACAAATAAAAAATATATATAAATAAATGAATGAATAAAGAAAGAAGTAAGTGAATAAATCGAGCTAGATGAGATGATTTTTTGTAGAATGAATATGTAGTATTGATTATGACTTTGAGTGATTTACATTAATCAGTCGCTGTGGTGGCATAATTAAGACCAAGAACCAATGCAAGTTTTGACTTAGTCTCTCAAAATAATAACATGATTTACTACACCAATGATTCAGAAATATATCAAGAAAAAATATTGAAAAAATGTTTAGCCTTTTGCTTGTTAATTTTACAACTAAAGAAGAAATAAAGCAAATAACAGGATAAAGTTGAAAAAGGCCTTATCAGATTGTCTGTCTATCTATGTTTATCTTTTTCATATATTTGTTCATTTCTATTTTGAAATATTAATAAGAAATATAAGAAATGCCATTTGATTTTCAGAAAGTGCGAGCTGGTGGTTCAGCAGTAGGTAAGTACAAAATACAATTAACTATTTATCTTTAAACTAATGCAAGCACATTCTGCAGGGGTAATAAAAAGTTTGTTACTTAAGTTTATTGATTTCCAAATGAAACGTGAACAATAAGTACTACCTGCTTTGTGAAGAAAATGGAGAAGCGAAGGAATCATGAAAACTGAAATTGCGTATACTCTTACTCTTGGTAAATGAAGAACACTGGAAGAAGAAGAAAAAAAAAAAAAGCTGTGCATCCCTGGAATTGCCTGTACCCTTGATAACAAGTCTGTGTAGTGAATACAGGCATGTTTGATTGGGAAATGCACTGAAATAAACTTTGTGCAATCTCCCCAGTCAATTTGACAACATTTAAGGATATTTAGCCAGGTGCACAATATATCTCTGGAAACATTGAGGTTGCCTCCCTCTTCCCTTAATAAAACCTCCCTTGGTCATCACTGCTTGTCCTGGTCACCGGTGAAGTTATCGTGGTGGTCAAATCTCAGTGGTGGTGGTCAAGGGATGGTCTGTGCACTTGTGTGGACATTGGCGGCAAATTGGACATTGGCCACAGAAGTGGAACATTGTTGAAGAATGGACAATAGTCGAAGATAAGACACTAATCGGTTTAAGAGACCTGTTTCTGAAGAAGAGCCAGGGCTACAAATATATATGGAGGGATTAAGAGAAAGTATTACAGGAGTGTTACTTATTTAGGTTCTGTGTTGAGCAATAAAATTGAGCTTTAAGAGTATATTGGTTGAAAAAATATCCACGTGGGCTTGTCTCTTATTCAGTTCCACTCCTCTTAAAGGACAGAATTTTTTTCCTTTTTTTTTTTTATAATCTGTGGTTCTTCTGTTGAGACCAATGAATGTTTCAAGTCTCACCTAACACAATTGGACTGTTCCTTGCCCCGCTGTAGAAGAACAGGTAAAACAGACACTAAGGAAGCCCTGCTGATCCCTAGTGTGCTGTTTTCACTTATCATTGAAAGATTCCTCGGTTTGTATTAAAATGTCTTGTTGTTTGGGGATAGGAGGGAGGGTAGTTTTAAAAAAAGCTGGTACGATGTTTAACTCTAAATGTGGTCTAAGAGTACAGTAAAAATGTAGGCATTTAATGCATGTGAAATTGCTAGTTTTGAGAGTCTAAGGAAGAGGCTAGCTAAAAAATCGCTCTAAAAAAGCAAGGGAATTTCATTAGATATAATTGTTTTGTCTCTATTCAAGTGAAAACATCCAAATTTATTTCAAAGTCTGAATAGTAAGTATAAGAAGTTATTCAGAACACATATTCAATAAAATGTTTAATTATGTTTTTATATTATGTTTTAAAACAAAAAGAGGTGATTATTTTTTTATACAAAGAATATCTTTCAATTTATAAATCCATACCAAAAGAGGGTTATTTCAAACACCCTGTTGTGATTTTTTAAATATTATTTTTTTATAAAACTGCAATGGGTGATAGTTAGATTTTTGCCATTTTCAAAAAATCAAATAACTGATTCTGTTTCCTGTACTGGGTATGGTTTGGACCTGGAAATATTTTATTTAGAATAGTAAGGAAGTTACTGTAACAATTGTATTTTATCAAGTGAAAGGAATTAAGTTGGTTTTTTTATATAGAGAGACTTGGGTTGTAAAGTAAAGAGAAAGTAAACTTAATTTAACTGAAAAATGGAGATTGTTAGTAGAAGTTTTTGAATATGTAGAATCATTGCAGGTGTGTGTTTTTGGGGTGGGGGGGTGGGGGGGAGGTGGTGAGTGAAGGGTATCATAAGCTGTTCAAAGTGTAGAGTGAATATTGGTGAAAAAAAAAAACGATACCATTTAGAAAAAAGTGGAAAGGTCACACAAAGGAATGAAATGTTCCCGTTACACCGTGAGAACATAATTATGTATTTGAGTGTCATTTTAAATGGGAATTGGGACGAGACTGAGAAAGCTGTTTTAGTATTAAATAGAAACATGACGATGGTTTGTAAGAAGTAATAGAGGGGGTAATTGCTTACAAGGTAAGTATGCAGTCCATTGTTTGAAAGATATTTTTATATGAGTCTGAAATTTGCATTTCTTTGGGGGGTGGGAGGGGGAGGGATTACCTACTCAGGGTTTGTGGGTGGGGTTTTAGTGAAGCTTGATTCATGTAAACTTAAGTACTCAAGCAGTATAACTAGCTGCAAGCATCTTCAAAATAGACCAGTTATAGAGTGTTTAGATATAAATGATAATTAATCAAAGATTGTACGAAATATTAATTTTGGACATTCATATGAATTGAAACTGCGGAATTGTATTTTAAATGTGTTTATTATGATATAGTATTGTAATTTAACATTTGTGGATACTAAGAAGCTAAAAGGAAAGAAATTATCTGGCATAAAACTTAAATGTTGAACAGGTCCTGGAACAATTCTCAAATACCTTGATTATCATAATATATGTATTTTAATTTTCTTGGATCATTTCCTGTGTCATCACTTGAATTTCTCTTTGCTCTTACATCATTAGTATATTAGTTGTGTTGTGAAATTTTCATATCTTATATAATTTTTTTCATAGATGGAAAAGGAAAGAGGAAGAAAGAATTGATGATCCAGCTTGCTATGGACAACTGCAGGGAGCCCCTGATTGGTATTTACTAGATATTAGATAGATAAATCAATAAATAAATAAATAAATAAATAAATAAATAAATAAATTAATTAATAATAATAATAATAATAATAATAATAATAATAATAATAATGGTTGTTATTGTAACAGATGTAAATGTCAATGTATTTTTTTTTGTAAGAACTGTAATCTACTTTTGGACTTGTGTCATTATTGGATCATTGAAATGTTGTCAATCTATGAAGTATATGACATTATGCTTTTATTACTGTTAAAAAATGTAATGGCTTATAATGTGAAAGTTATTGGTATAGATTATTACAAAAAAAAATTAAACAAAAAAAATTTAGAAATAGGAATAGAAAGAAGGCAGACTTGATTCAGAAGTAGCAGAAGATTAGTGTGTTTTTTGTCTCGCCAGGTCTGGACTACCTGATCGAGTTCCAGCCAGAAGACCCTGCAGAGGAACCTCGTTATGTTTGCGAACTTTGCGAACAGAAGTTTGATCCCCGCCAGGTCATCGCTCACGTCACCGGTTTGAGACACAGAAACAGGTTTATGGTCTGTACAGTTCACTGTTTTCAGCGCACTCTCCATTGATTTTGGAATGTTCCCCACTGTTTTGCCTAAGCTAAATTTATTTTGTCAGTAACATAGGTCATGCAAGCAAATGAAATAAAATAAAATAAACTTCGCTGGCCGGAATTATCACTGGCTTGAGACGCAAATAAACAGTGATCAGTTATGATGAATTTTTATATAATTTTTACATTTTTTATGGGATGGAATATATTTACTTTAAAATGTTTAGCTGCTTTTATTTTTTCAAACAATGATAATAATATAGTAATCTATGACTGCCTTCAGGTAGAATACAGCAACAAGAAATTGCATGGTTGGGAATTAATAATGATAACAATAATAATAATAATATACAATTTGTAAATTTAGAAAGAGAACTATCCCCTGTATCACGAAAAACTGTACGAGCTCGGTGAGCGGCGTGAGAAGAAGTCTGTGAGGACTGACCTTGCACTGCAGTATGCCAAGTGGATAGAGGAAAGGGAGGGCAGGAAACCTATACGCCTCAAGTTGGTGCTGGAGCCTTTATTAAAAGGTTCGTACCTTACAGACATATCTCATGGTTGTTTACCTAACTCCCCCACCATTCAAAGAGAGAGAAAGAGAGCAATGCAGTTTGATTAACAAAGTATCAGTTTGAATTTGTATCTGTTTTGTATTAAATTTCCACATAAAGAACTAATTTATTAAAAACTTTCCCAGTGTTATATACGATCGTTTTGTGTGTTGCCATGAATATGGCATGTATTTGGACGTGTTTAAAGATGTGCATAAAAAGATGCCTGGGTGCACTCCAGTTAGGCTCACACCGCCTTTTACACCAAGTACTGTAGGGTTGCCAATCCAGTTGTATATGATGAGATCATAAAATCTAACACAGCTTGTGAACTGTTCCATCTCTACTTTTGAGACTAACACTGTCATCTTTATTATTTTCAGATTCAAACGCAACTTGGGTGGAAGATGATAAGTATTCTTCTGAAAGAGGTAAACTAATGGGTTTTCACTTATTGTATTGATTATTGCTCTGGCTGTGGATGGTTTAAGATGTTTTAAAAGAAAATACTACTTTTTTTAGTAAGAATTTGAAATAATTTCTAGACTAAAACTATAAAAAAAACACTGTTTTGCACTCAAACTTCATTACCAGGTATTGACTTCATGTAGCCATCTCCTGAGCAGGTGTTGACTGGTACTTTCTGGGGCCTATGAATTCAAAAAGTGATAATTTCTAGTCATTTGCCGTCCTTTTCAGCACACTTTGATTATTTCAGGTTTTAGCAAGAGAAGCAGTTGTTATCAACTGGGTGTTAATGTCACTGGTGCAAGGCTAGATCTTAGCCCATTATAATATGAATAATATATAAATAATATATCTCAAAAGCAGTGATTACATTATGTCCATAACTATTGCAGTACTCGCTTAAAATGTACATATAACAATACAAAATTTCAAAGGAAAAAATACATCAATTCTTTTAATAATTCAGTAATATACTTAAATGAATTGTAAAACAGACGATGTCATTTTCCCTTCTTCCACAGCATCAGGGTTGACTAGGAAGTATGAATCCTACTCCACTTACTCCGAGAGGGACGATGACTTGGATGACATTCAAAGAAAAGACGTCAATGTCAAGGAAGAACAGGGAGACACCAGGGGTGGGCCGAGAGATCCACGAGATAGAGGGCGCGATTATCTTGGCCCAGAACGAGAGAGAGGCTATCCCGATAGAGACTATTTCGACAGAAGAAGAGACTACTATGAAGGTCTAGATAGACCAGGATACCCTGAGCGCGGAGGAGTCTATCCTGGACGTTACAGAGACTACCCTGATGTGCGGGGTGCCCCCTATGATGACTCTTACTATGACAGGTGTGCAGAGCACATTTTTGGCTTCTCTTTATTAATAGCGCTTAATTCTAAAGCCAGACAAAATCTGGATTAGTTGGTCAACAAGTGTGGTAGACCCTCATGGATATTAAGAATTTTTTGCACCTTTTTTATTGGCACATTTTTTTTTTTAAGTGGAAGATGCAAAAGGTATTGAGAAATTCAGGTGTTATTCCCACTACAGACATGAAGAATTACACCTTTCAGTTCTTCATTTACACATTATGGGGTGAAAATGTTATAAATATGGCAATTTAAAGGCATAGATACCAACATTTGAAGTGTATAGATTTAAGTTATTTAGATCAGAAATGGGCCAACTGAGAACCAAGTATATTTTGGTGGTGATCCATTTATTAGTTAATCATTTCATTAAGAAATGTAAATCGAGCTGCTATCACAGAGGTCTGTACTCTCTGAGTGGTTTTCAATTTTTTCTTCTGTATTGCAGATATCCCAGATATCTCTTTATTAATAGCGCTTAATTCTAAAGCCAGACAAAATCTGGATTAGTTGGTCAACAAGTGTGGTAGACCCTCGTGGATATTAAGAATTTTTTGCACCTTTTTTATTGGCACATTTTTTTTTTTTTTTTTTAAGTGGAAGATGCAAAAGGTATTGAGAAATTCAGGTGTTATTCCCACTACAGACATGAAGAATTACACCTTTCAGTTCTTCATTTACACATTATGGGGTGAAAATGTTATAAATATGGCAATTTAAAGGCATAGATACCAACATTTGAAGTGTATAGATTTAAGTTATTTAGATCAGAAATGGGCCAACTGAGAACCAAGTATATTTTGGTGGTGATCCATTTATTAGTTAATCATTTCATTAAGAAATGTAAATCGAGCTGCTATCACAGAGGTCTGTGCTCTCTGAGTGGTTTTCAATTTTTTCTTCTGTATTGCAGATATCCCAGAAGATACCCTGCTGACTATGACCGCTACTACCCTCCTGCACGCCTACTACCAGGAGAGGATGACAGGTATGCCCTGGATTTTTTTCAAGAATATTTTTGAGTGATATTTTATTGCTTCCCAGGCCTGTGCCTACTTACTAGTTAGAGAGGAAAAGAGGGAAAACTAGGCTCAGGCTGGTGGTTTATGGTAATTATTAAGAAAAGCTGAAAAAGGGGTTTGATTGTAGATGTGTATTTTGAAGTATGACTTTTATTCCCAGTTATCTCATGTATCACTGAATGAACTTATGCTCGTTAAGTATTTTTGATATGGCATTTGCATATAGAAATATTTTTATGTGTTAACCGTTCAAGATTAAATCTGTGCAATGGTAAATTGCACATAACTCACTGTTTGGACATCCGGTCGTTTTTAAAATTAACTTAACGTGATCTTGTCTGCCTTGACCCTTTAATGACATTGACCTTGACCCTGTTTTGTAATCTTTGCATTTTCAAGGCCAGGACTGAGTCGTCCAATGGAAGTGATAGACTACAGTCACCAGTCCACATCCGCAGAGGTCAGCAGAGAGGGGGACAGGTCCCCCAGGCTCCAGGACGACCCCAACGAGAGGAAATTTCAAGAAATGATGGGAGAGCTGCAGGAAAGGGGACAGCTGGATGATCAACAGGACAAAGAATCCAAGGTTCCTGATGCAGCGGCCATTGCGGCGGCGCTAGGGGTTGACACAGGCGGGATTCCTCTGAATGAGGAGACCAAAAGGTTGCTGGAGACACTGGTAAGGGCTTGATTTGCCATCTGTCTTCAGTCCTTATTGGAAAAGATATTGTCATAGGCTCATGCTGGCACAGCAAAGTATCCCTTCAGTGAAAAGTTTCTTTTTATCAGTTTTTTTTTTTAGAAAATTCTTTACTTTGAGTGAACATTACAGTTTTTCCAAATAAGCAAAAACCTTGCAAGAGGTGGACTATTTTTGACTTGAAATGTAGTTTCCTGGAGAACTGAATACAAAATTAACTGACAGAGAGAAAGCAATCCAAAGTTTCCTAGTCTGTGATATTACAAAAAAAGCAGTATATTATAGTGACAATGTTTCTTGTCTATCTCTTCATGTAATGAAGTATGTTGAACAGGATTGGATTTTTGAGTCATCTCTAGTCAATTTGAATAGAGATAAATATTGGAATTGTTATTTTCCTCTAGGGTCAGGTGATGGTCAGCAATGACAATGAGGCTGAAGTGGCTCTACAGGTGTCCAACACTCTGACACAGGCACTTGCAGACTACAAACTTAAACATGGAAAGCTGGTGAGTTTAACATCCATAAATTGTACTGTGTGAGAGATCATTATGAAAGAAGTCAGTGAATAGGCCTGTTGTAGCTAGATGTTGGCTTCTTTTGTGCACTGAAGAGCTTGCTCTCCAACATTCTTTTGTTTACTGGGGTGCAAGCTCTTCAGTTAGGGTCAGAAGTTAGGGTGTAGTCGTCTAGCTGCAAAAGGCTTGTTGCTAATGTTAGACATCTGTTACTGTCCGTTCTAATCCCACTGTGAAGACACTCTCAACAGAACTGAAATGTATGTCTGTATTCATGTAATCTCTCTGACCAATTATATTGTATCCTTTTTATACTAAAGCCAGTAAGAGGTTTTATTATTATTATTAAGTATAAGGCAATTTTTGTTTGATTTCAGGGTGAAGGGACAGGTGATCAGAGACCATCTGAGGGGTATGATAAACCAGCAACACAAAGAGAACATACAGGTTTGTGATTACTTGAATAATATTTATAATAAATAAAATAATTATATACTAAATGATATAGGTTAAAGATAAAAAGTAAAACATTATAAATATTGGTTTGTGTGAAATGCCTCCACTTATTTGCTAAAGCTCTAGGTCAACTCCTGTTCAACTGCATAAGTTTAGAATGAGTGTGGTTAGGAAAGAAATTGCAAGAAAAATTAAGGAATTGATATCATAGCCCTCTTTAAGTTAAGGAATTTAGTCATTAATGAGGATTCTTTACAAAATATTATCATAAAAATTTACTTTTTTGTTCATATTGTTCCATTTTTTGCAGCAGAGGAACTGGACGAGGCCTTCTTCATCGGCCATCAGCCACAGTCTAGGATAGCACCTGTTGTCTGGAAGAAAGACAGCCGCCAGAATCAGTCCAAACTTGTGCCAACTTCAAACCCTCTTGTTGCCTATGGTGGCAGTGATGACGAGGGCGAGACGGAGCCACAGCAAACACAGTCCAGTCAAAGTTCTGCCAGTGTCATGGCGTCGTCTGTCTCGTCGTTGTACAGTCGCACTGCAAACCTCTTTGATGCTTATTCGTTTGGAAACTTGTTAAACACAGCCCCCCAACCCCCTCCTGAACAAGACTCCCCTCCCCTGCCCCCACCTTTGCCCCCCTCCAGTGAAGCTGAGCCACCCCCACCCCCTCCCCCAGACACGGAACAAAGTGAACAGAGTTACGATTCACAGATGAAGTATTTAGACTTACAACAACAACAGCAGCAACAACAGTATTTCTACCAGCAACAATATGGCTATCAGTTGCCACAACAACAGTTACCACAACAACAGTTGGCAGAGCAACAGTACCAACAATCACAGTACATGATGCAGACGGGTTACCAGGGAATGTATTATTCCCAACCGCCTTCCTAATAAAATCCATTCCAACTTCTGTCATGTAACATCTTCAATAAAATTATTTTATCAATATTGTTACATTAAAATATGGTTACTGTCAGGGATCATGCATTTTTTATTTAGTTGGACTGATTTTGCAAAAATTGTCAACATGTCTTTTTAGCCATTTAGCAAATAAACTAGATCTTTGCATATGTTGCTTATAAGACTGTTGCAAATTTCTGTTTGTTAGAAATAGGAATATTTATCCTACTGTTGCTTTTAGTTTTAAAATTTCTGCTTTAGTTAAGAAAAGGTTGAAACTTGCAGTAAGAATAGTTTTACAAGGCATTTAATCATGATAATGAGTAAAGTTCAACTTTACATTAACTCTCAACTCTTCAAGTTAAGTAGTTATAGAATTTCCCTTAGTTTTCTTTTATTGTGAAAAATACATTCTGTAAGAGTGTAAATAAAATTGAGAGTCCGTGTTTCTTCATTGAACTTGAGCTCTGTTCTTGTCTTATTCCCTTCAATTCTTTCTAGTACAATAGGCACTTCAAAGAATAATTTTTAAATAAACTGATAACAATTAAATCAAACACAAACAGCTGGCACTTGAGCCATTTTAATAACTTGCTTGGCAGTCACAAATATGATTAAAAGTTGCATTTTAAATACACCAAAAGCGTTTTACCTTCTAAAGATCCTCACAATATCTTATGCCCTTTGTTTTAAAGAAGGTGTAATACAATTTCACATAGTGCATGCCCTACAGTCCTACGTGCCTGAAGCAATACTACTTCTGCTTTTTGGTTGTCGATCATAAAAGAAAATGACTTTAATCAAGTTCAAAATGCACACGAGTTTTTCAGCAGAAAAATTCTGGGGCAGATTTCCTACTGCGGTTTCTCTACAAGCTATGAAGATGACTACCAAATTCATAAAGAAAAAATGCAAATAAGGAAGGGGGCTTTAATTTTCATATGTTTCTTCAAAACAAAAATAATAAAGAATGATGGCTGTCTTGAATTCACATGCAAAAGACACCTGGTCAACACTGGTCATTCATCACCACCTGACATCCAGGTATGACTAACCACTGGACAAGAACTGGGCATTGGTCACCACTTGACACCAGTCACCACTAGACATCCAGATATGACTGACCACTGGGCATTGGACACCATCTTGACACAGGTCACCACTTAACATCCAGATATGACTGACCACTGGGCAAGATCTGGTCACATGTCACCACTTGACACCGGTCACCATTAGATATCCAGATATATCTGACCACTGGGCATTGGTCACCACTTGACACAACACACCACTGGACATCCAGATATGACAGACCACTGGGCAAGAACTGGGCATTGGTCACCACTGGGCATCGGTCACCACTGGACATCATCTTCTGAGGAGGCCAGGCAGGCTGCTATGTGTCCATCTATGTCCATCTGTGACCAACTAAAATGAAATTGATATTTAGAGACGTCCTTCTGCTTCCTGCAACCAACAAATATAATTGGAATTTAGGGGCATCTAGGAAAAGTTCTCAGTTTATGCTATTTCATAAAAAGATAAAGGTATGTCTACCCCTCTGTAGTGTAAATATAAACATGCCTTAACATACATCACCTTAATTTACCTGTTTCAGATTTAAAGCCACAATAAGAATTTTAAAGCGATGCTTCACCTGGTTTCAAACTCCATCTGGCAAAGAGGACAAGCATCCAATGGCCTCGCTTTCTTTGCATCCTGCCACTCCTCGCTTTGGTCATATGACTGGTTTTCTCTTCCTGAAGACTTTAGTTTTTGTGAAGAACTTGTACCCCTCGGTGGGGAGATTGTAGCCACGAGTGCACAGTTTGCTCCACTCAGAGAAGAGCTCGATTCCCTTAAACTAGAGGTAAATTTTGAAGGTTCAGAGTTTGTCTCCTCGAGTCCAGAAACTGCATCTACAACCTGAGAGATTGTCTCTTTCAGTTCAAACTTTTCTGCTTTTGGATGCAGAAGGATTGTTTCCCTAACATTAGGGTATTGCAATTTATGTCCATTGTCTCTCTCTTTTTTCTTTAAATTCTCATTTTGTTCTAATCTTAAGTTTTTACCTCCTAATTGCAGATAAGTTTCACCAGGCCCTGAGTGAGCTGCAGTAAATTCTGAGCGAGAAAATTTCTGTCTGGAAAGACATGACATGCAAGCCTTAGGCAATGGCTTCCAATTATTCAAAATATCTTCTTTTCTTACTTTACGTGAAAATGTGTCTTTCTGTACTAGTATTTGACTTTCATTCAGTGATTTGTCCTTTTCATTTTGGACCTGTGCCTGCAAGCAGAAAATATATAAAATGGTCAATAGTTCATAGATAAATCAATCAATAAGTAGTTGAAATTGAAGTTTTGACAATTTATATAAAACTTAACACCTCTGAAAGTGGAGGGTATATATTTAATGTATAGAAGCCAAGACCTACCCATGCTGGTAAGGCCTGTTGACCAGGACTGGACTGTGGCCACCTGTGGGTCCTCAGGAAATTTCGGACATTGACCAAGTCTGGACAGAGACTGACCTCTTCTGAGACTGAATGACTGTTGCTTGATGGTGGGAAAATATGACTGAACTAATTCACATATTAAAAAATGTTTGTACAAATTCACCTGAAACATAGATCTATATTTCGTTTATTTTTTAAATTATGTTTAAGATTAATATAAACAATTATTAAGGAGGATTTAATGCAAATATGGGATTTCCTAGTGCACTGCTATCAATGAAACAAGATTTGTCAGAGGATGATTATGTTTAAGTCACCTTCACTAGAGTGTAGCGGGCGGTCTGATATATTATTTGTCTCAGATTTCGGGACATGAAAAGTCGATATCTAAGGGAGAAAAGGCTGTTCAAATAAATCCTAATTGCGCCTCAGAAGGTTAAATCATAGGGAACGGTGTTTGGCTTCTGACTGCCTGTTTTCGACCAAATCTGTCTAAAACTAAAGAATGAATTAACGCTGAATGCTGAGGGAATGAAAGCTCTAAAATTAAATTAAAGAAGTGAGTGGCATGTTATCTGGGTAGTTCAAGACCCTGGAGAGGTGGGATGTACACTAACAGTCTCCAATTAAGTTCAGCGAGGCGTACCTTGGAACAGTTTTTACGACTGTGTTCAACTTCTGCCTTTTGATTTCTTGTTGATCATCGGAGCCTGTAGTTAAATCTGCTGAAAAATTCTTCTTTACTTTTGCCTGTTTCAAGCTAAGTTTCTTGCGCTTCGTAACTTCCGCCATTTGCCCTGAGATATGTCTATCTCCGTACCAGGTAGTGGTCACATCAGGGCTTGGAGCTTCTTA